TGGAAGATGGGAGCACTTAAGCCAAGGGTTTTGGGAAAGTTGGAAAGAGGGGAGAGGTGGGGGGCAGTAGGTAGTGTGGGTGTTCAGCCCCAGAACAGAATGCAGGGGTGGGGAGAAAAGTGACTCTTAGGGAAAGTGGCCACAACTGGAATGGGGCAGGCATTGTGGAACACTCATCACTCAAGGTCACATGAAGTGTCTCCTGGGAGCCACACAGGACACACACACACACCCCACACACAAGCATACACACACCTGGAGAAGCAGAAGTTTGGGGGGTGAAGCAGTTACTCATTTCTGTACATTCATGTAACAGCAAATTTGCCAGGAGGCAGGCCACTGCCCTTCCCTCCAGGGGCATCTCCAGCCCTGCCTGTCTTCTCCTGATCTTCTGGCTTCTCCCATCCTGTCCCTGCCCTCCACCCCAGCATCGCCACCACAGGTCTGTTTGACGCCTGTTTCCTTGTCTCTGCCATGCACGGGTAGCTTGAGCACAGCCAGAGGAATGTGCCTCCAGGAAAGTGCGGGGCTCCTGCTTTTGCCTCTGCAGCTTCATGCAGGTCCCAGCCCTGACTGTGAGCCCCAGCTTGCCCACACTCTCTCCCTCCCATCACTTTCATAAGCGGCTCATGAGTGACTGGTTGTGACCTGTTAGTCCTAGGAAGGTTTGGCTTGGTGCCCATCAACGTTCCAGCTCCCTGCCCCTACCTCCCCCGCCACCCCAGGAATGGGCAGGGAGGAGATGGAGGAACTGAACTGGAACCGCCCTTGGGGGCTGGAGCCTGGGCAAGAGTCAGAGGGCCTTAAACCATGCAGAGCCTGGAGGTGGAGTCCAGAGGAGGACACCTGGCCCGCTGCTCAATCTCTTCCCACTGTTGACCAACCATAGCCAAGGTCGACTCCTAGGGGTGCTGTGGGAGGGCTGGGCGCAGGCAGGGTCCTGGCACAGCCCTTATATCCCCTACTGCTTTATCTCCCTATTGGCTTCCAAGCTGGCCATTTCTGCAGTCCCATGGGAGGCCAATTAGTGAAAATTTCCTCCACCCACCCTCTCTCCATCCCACCAATCCCCCTCAGAAGTCATGGGGTGAGCCTTGTGAACAAAGTTGGCAGCACAGGGTAGAGGAGAAATGAGTAGGAGACAAGAAAGCAGCAAGGAGGGAGAGAGATGGAATGAATGGCTTTGAAAATGAACTGGGAAACCAGCTCCTCTCCCTTCCACCTTGCTGAGGCTGCAGGCCCATAGTAGGCACCAGCTGGCTACCCACTGTCCTGTTCATTTCCTCCTGTAATCATGAAGCATCAGCTTTATGCCAGACACTGTGCTGGGGAGGGAGAGCCAATCAGATTAGTGTGTTGGAGAGATAAAAGATAATTCCACTAGGCTCTGGGAAGGCTACTGTCTCTCCACCCTCTCAGGAGTAGGGCGAAGAGGCCCACTCTGGGCCATTTGCACAGTGGTGGAAACTGAGGCCCAGGGAAGCGTGGGGCCTCAGTAGTGAGCCTGCTTAGTAGGGCGCTGGAACCCCCAGTCTCTGCCTCAATCTACCCGGCCACCAGAGAGTGCGTGGTGTGGGGTGTGGTCCCCAGACAGACACTGTCCCAGGGCCCTGAAGCTTTGGGACCGTGTCTGCTGCTGAGTTTCAGCTCTCCAGTTTATAGCAAAGTTCCCGGCACCTACAGTAAATGTTGTTGAATGAATTAAAGATTCCCTGGAGATTCTTGTGGCACTGCATAGTAAGGACTGAGCGAGGCAAGGTTGAGCACAGTGCTCAGGGGCAGGAGCAGTGCGTTTAAGAACCAGTGGGGTTTAAGCATATGGGCTCTGCGGTTAGACTGCCTGAGTCTGGCTGTCCTACTTAACTGTGTGACCCTGGGCAAGTTACTTTGTCTCCCTGTGACTCAGTTTCCTCACTCGCAAGTACGAATTGCTCTGAGGATACAAAGAGAAAGTGACCAACACAGTGTTCTGCATGTAGCAAACACTGAAGACACCATTATCGGGCTAGAACAGTTGCAGTGGGAGTAGGGCACAACGAAGAGACGCTTCCTGGGCTGAATCAATCCAAGTATGCTGGCTGGATGTGGGAGGAGGAGGAATGGGGGGTATCAGCCTCCCTGCTTAGGCAGTGGTGGAGCTCTGGGAACAGGGAGCTGAGGGGCAGGGCAGGAGGAAGGGCCCCCTGGGGCAGGAAGGGAGTTTTGGACACAGAATATGAGGTTCCTGTGAAGATCCTAGAAACCATGGGCTTACCTTGTGCAGAGCTCAGCAAAGAGGCCGAGGTGGGGAAAATCAAGCCCAGTCAAAGCCTGGACCAAGAAGCCCCCTTCACCCTCCCACCCTCCTCAGCTATCCATGGGGGCCTCTGCCACCTCCTTGGAGGGAATGGAGGAGGGTTCAAGAAGTCCACGCTCTGGCAGGAGCTCGTTGTCTGAGTAGAGTGTATCAAGGGGGCCTGCTGGTCAGTTTCCACCATCTGTACCAAGGTGTGGGCAAATGACTATGGATGTGAGTTCTTCCTCCTTTATCCCGGCTGTGGGTAGGTTTCAGAGGCAGGACTGCAGAGTGGTAAAGCACACAGGTAGACGGCACCTGGGCCGCGTCACTCACGGCCCTACCACTTCCCAGTGTGGAACCTTGGGCAAGTCACCTAACCTCTTTGTAAAGAGGTTACGTCTGTAAAATGGGATAACGATAATAACAACCCTGTCTCATAGGGTTATTGTGACAATTAAATCAGTGAATATATATATATAAAGAATCAAGGACAGGACCTGGAACATGTTGACTATTGTTATTATTATTCATCTGTCCTAATGCACCTGCCAGGCATTTAATGGCAGCTAGAGGAGGGTGGAGGCGGTACCAGGACACAGCGTGATTGTCTCCAAGATGACTCACCATCTCGTTTGGATGCGTTCCCCAGACACGCTCCCAGTCTGCTGCCCCTTCTAGGCCTCAGCTTTGATCAAATATCTGCTGAGCAGTAATTCTACTGGCCAGTCCCAATTCAGGATCCTGAAAAGCCTGCCCCGTCATCTGCCTTCATGGCAGGCTGGGGGCCTTGCCTGTTAGAGAGAGGATGAGCTAGCAATGGAAGTGGAAGATCTAATCCCTACCGTCTCTCCAGAGATGACCTAGGAGCCAATAGGTAATCACCCCAGGCCCCATTCTCAGTCTCCCCAGAGACGGGGAATGAGAAAGAGATGGAAAAAAGAAAGGCAGGAGTAGTGCGGAAGGGGAACACAGTTGGGGGAGTGGCTTTGGGACACTCATTTTCACTGATTTGCACGACTTTCTTTGGTTCCTTGGCTCTCTGAGGCCCCCCCACACCTCTAACAAACATACTCCCTTTTCTGAGTAACCCCTCCTAGGCAGTCTAGTCTATCTTAGAACAAACAGAATGCATCAGAGGTGCATCCGGTACAGCACCGGGAGTACATGGAGCTAGACAACTTGGGTTCATGCCCCAGCTCTACCAATTACTAGCTGTGTGACTTTGGCAAGTTACCTAATATCCCCGAGCCTCAGTTTCCCCACCTGTAAAGTGGGGATAACAGAAGTACCTGCCTCACAGGGCCCACACGTAATTAGCTTTTGTGGCTCTGCCGAAATGTCTACAGGTGTACAAGTGTCCTGCCTCACCCCTCAGCAACTTTTCTACCTGCCCAGAGTAACGGCAGCAAGAATAAGAAAGAGGGGATCCCTTTCTGACCCTACTGTCAGTCTCAGGAAGCCTTCCCGCAATAACTCCTAGTCCAGGCCACTGGCCCCAGCAACCTGAAACGCACAACTCCATCCCTGCAGCTCTTCCTCCTGCGTACCTGTGACTCCCAATTCGTTAACCTTTCCCTCCAGTTTCCAGGCCGTTCTTCCTTCTTCCAGATTACCAGAACTCGGTTGAATGGATTTGGGTCTGAGGTAAGATTCATTCTCCGGCTTCCCTCCTTCCCTGGAAAGGCATTTAAAACTCCACCAGCGTTTCTTAACGTGTGGACACAGCGAATGACCTGGGATGTTTGTTCAAAATACAGATTTTCCATTTCATGCCAACAGGATTGAATATGAATTGGGGACGGAGCCTACGTTTTAGTAAGTTTCTGGGAAACATTTTGTATACACATATACATTAAAATTGATATTTTAACCACAATTAAAATTCCTCTCCGAACTTCCAAGAAAATAATCATTGGTGGAGGATGGGGGCTTGGCATCCCAGAATCAGGGGTATAGGCTTTTTAGAGAAAATTCTTCCCAGTATGGGCACCCTTAACAGCAAAGGGAAAAGGGAAGAGAAGGGGCAAAAGTCCTGCGGGGCGTGGGCTTCCTTCCAAATCCTCATTTTCGTCCTGAGCAATCACGGGGCGCCGAGCGAGCCTCTGTCCCCGGCCACTGTCTCTCCACCCTCTCAGGAGTGGGGCGAAGAGGCCGGCCCTGGGCCATTTGCACAGTGGTGGAAACTGAGGCCCAGGGAAGCGTGGGGCCTCGGTAGCGAATCTGCTTAGCAGGACGCTAGAATCCCGGTCTCTGCCTCAACCTACCCGGCCACCAGGGAGCGCGCGGTGGGGGGTGTGGTCCTGGAACACCTCCTGCTCCCCTGGAAGCTCTGCCACAACCCCAGTCTCCTCTCAGGGCCGCGAATCCCGCCCCAATCCGTTCTGGAGAGCGGTCCTTCCTCTCCAGCCTCAGTTTCCTCAACTGCTCCCGTCCTGTGTGTGCTGGGGCCGGGGGCCGGGGGGCGCGGGTCTGGGAACGCAACTGTGGATTCCCCGCAGGAAGGCCGCCTCGTCCCTCCCCCGGGCGGCCGGAGACCCCGAATCGAAACCGGAGGCAGACGCCCCGGCCGGGAAGCGGCCCCAGCCCGGATTTCCCTCCCGGGCGGGGCCGCCGTGACTCACCCGCCCCTTCCCCGGCTTCCGTGTTTGCGTTTCTCCTCCCGGCCACGTGGCGGCCACTCACGCCCCATCCCCGACGCGCGGCCCCCGCCGCCCCCGCACACACCTCGGGGCCGCTCCTGCCCCTGAGGACGCTCGGGGCCCGGGCAGGTGTCCACTCCACTATTCCGAGGTGCAGACTCCCCGCCCCCTACGCTCCCCACACGGTGAGGCGGGGCGCCTCCTCCCCGCTCCAGTCCGGGGGAGGGGAAGGGGCGGGCGGCGCAGGGGCTGTGACAGCTCCCGCCCGGACCGGTGCCAGCTGCAGCCTTGCTTCAGCGCCCGGTGCCAGCTGGCTCCTTCGTCTGGGACGAAGGCGGAGGCTCGGGGCTCCTTGTAGCCGGTGGCGGTGGGGGGGTCGCCCCCCACCACGCCCCCACCCCTCTACTCGCCCAAGAGGAGCCTCTCCACCGAGCCCTGCATCCCGCTGCCCTGGCAGCCGGTCCAGCTAGCCACTGGCCCCGTTCACTGTACCTGGACTTACCCACCGGCTCTCTCCGGATCCCCTTATCAAAGCGGATGGGGGTCGCCGGGGACCCCGCCCCCCAGCCTTTTGCTAGAGCCTGCAGGGCTGTGCGAGTTTGAAAAGAAACATGAAGGTGGGTAAGGTGGGGTCAGGGTTGAGGAGGAGCAGGAGAGGGCGGGAGAGGAAGCTGACACGGTGGGGAGTTTGGGTGGGAGAGAGAGGCTGAGGAGGAGGGGAGAAGGGTTTGAGCTGAAGCTGCGTTTCTGGGGGACCCAGTGAATCTATAGCCTCCTGCTGGGAGGTGGTGGAGATCTCTGCAGGGGCATGGACAGTGAGATGGGCCAGAACTCCAAAGAGGGCTAAGAAGGGCCTGATCTTTTCCAAGAGCCAGCTGGGGACCCCTAAGTGCGCCAGACCGGCAGGCCCCAGTGAAGGTCTTCCTGTTCCTCCCCCAGCTCCTGGCAGGATTGCAGCACCTCCGCCTGACCAGTCCGGAGGACTCTAAGGAAGCAGTTATGCCTGCCGCAGTTGTGCTCTGGTCCAGCTGCCCCGGTCCAGTCTCATGGCTGTCCACTTTCCTCCTTGTGTCATAGGTGGGCTGGCCAGGTGAGAGCTGCTGGCAGGTGGGCCTGGCTGTGGAGGATAGCCCAGCTCTGGGAGCACCGCAGGTGGGAGCCCTCCCTGACTTGGTGCCGGAGGGGACACTGCTCAACATGGTGTTGAGGAGAATGCACCGGCCCCGAAGCTGCTCCTACCAGCTGCTGCTGGAGCACCGGCGTCCCAGCCACATCCAGGGGCTGCGCTGGGTGAGTACCTTTCACCTGCCCAGGCCAGGGCCAGCACCAGGGCTAGAGGGGGGTCTGGACTGTAGCTGGCCATGTTGCCGGTGGCCCAGCTTGCTCTGGGGGTGTAGAGTGGTACAGCTGCGGTGGACAGTGGGTCAGGAAGCTTGCCTGCAGTGTGCATGGGTGGCTCACACAGCTGCAACGTGTGTGTCTGTGTGTGTGTTGTGCCCAAATGTCTCTGGGCATGGGGGGGAAGGGGAAAGGGATTTGTTATTTACCTGTCACCTCTGTGAGCCGGGCATTGAGTTAGGTGCTTGTGGGTACTTTCCAGGTGGGGGTGGGAGGTATGGGGGCCAAGTCAAAGGGCTGGGGTGACGTAAATTTGGTTACAGTTCTGGGTGCGTCACCGTGGCAACATTGTTTCTTAGTGAGCAACTGAACTGTGCTAATTCTGCGTTTTGGTCTTGGGGTGAGGTGGTCATGTGGACACCGCTTGGTACCTGCCTTTGGGGGGGCTCGGGGAAGGATTCTGAGACATTTGGAGAATCTGAGATGACCTAAGTGCCCTTTGCCAGTGAGAAACATCTCCAGACCTGAAAGAATGGAGGAGAGAGCAGGAAGGGTAAAGAATGGTGGGGATTGGGAGGCACGATAATGGCTGTACCGTCCAAATCTGCAGAGAAACTGTCCCCGGCCACCCAGACTAAATAACGTAGCCTGAGTTTCAGTTATGCCTCTACTGCCTGTGTCTGCCCATTCATTCCATCATGCCTGTGTTTGAGAGACTCTGGGTACCTGTCACTGTGTTGCCCAGGCTGGTCTGGAATTCCTGGGACCAAGCAATCTGCCTGTCTTGGCCTCCCAAAGTGCTGGTATTATAGGCATGACCTGCCGTGCCTGCCCGGGAGAGTGAGTGAGTCTCTTTCTTTCTTTCTTTCTTTCTTTCTTTCTTTCTTTCTTTCTTTCTTTCTTTCTTTCTTTCTTTCTTTCTCTTTCTTTCTTTCTTTCTTTCTTTTTCTTTTCTTTCCTTCCTTCCTTCCTTCTTTCTCTTTCTTTCTTTTCTTTCTTTTTCTTTCTTCCTTTCTTTTTCTTTCTTCCTTTCTTCTTCCTTTTTTTTTTTTTTACTGGAGTCTCGTACTGTCTCCAGGTTGGAGTGCACTGGCATGATCTCGGCTCATTGCAACCTCCACCTCCCAGGTTTAAGATTCTCCTTCTTCAGCTTCCCAAGTAGCTGGGACTGTAGGCGTGAGCCACCACACCCAGCTAATTTTTGTATTTTTAGTAGAAACGGGGCTTCACCATGTTGGCCATAATGGTCTTGATCTCTTGACCTCGTGATCTGCCTACCTCGGCCTCCCAAAGTGCTGGGATTACAGGGGTGAGCCAGGAGTTCATTTCTTATTGGCAAGTTCTTTTGAGTAGAATAAACACCACCCTCTCCCTCCTTCCCCCTACCTTGCTCAACTGCCATTTACATTGAGGCTGAGTTGAAAAAAACCGAGACCCACCAAGACAAGGGGCTCCCCTTTGCAATCAGAACTGAGAAAAGAATCCAGGTGTTGGTCCTTTTAGAGTTGTTCTCTACCAGGGTATTTCTTATCATGAGCCTGGGTCCTCCTCCGCTACCCCTCTGACTCTCCGGGTCACTGGCTGTAGCTACTGCCTGGAGCCAGTGGGCTGGAACCCTCCCTCCCTCCTTCCCTCTCAGGCTATAATTACTTGTGCATTTCCTGTCCCCTTCCCAGCTTGTAAAGGCAAGGTAGGGGGTGGAGGGAGGGTCAGGTGCCAGGACAGTGAGGTCACTGGAGGATCCCTTGGGACCTGAAGTCGGGAAGGGAGTGGAAGAGGCCACCAGGCTCTCTCCTGACTTCCCCCAGCCCCTAGAAATGAAGGGCTGGTGTGCGTGGGGAGGCTAGAAAGGTGGGGGTGAAGGTTGCTGAAAGGTAAAGTGGGGCAAAGGCATAGAAACAATGCCCTTCCCTGCCAGGTGGACGTTGGTGACTAGAAAGAACTTAGATCTTTAGTGCTTAGAGGCAGGCGGCCACTCCCCCTTCTGATGACCATCTTTGGGAACTGGGGTGGGGAGGTTTCATTCCATCATGCCTGTGTTTGAGAGACTCTGGGTACCTGTCAAGCTGTACTTCTTACCTCCTGATGCTGCCTTTAGCCTAGGGAAGGCTTCCATGAGGGAGAGAGCGCCGGCTGTGAGCATGCATACCCAGGGTGAAGGGGTGGGGCCCGAGTCCCCGGAAGACAGCACTGCCAGTTATCGAAGCCAGGCCTCCCTCTTCGAAAGCCAAGGGGGAAACCCATCAACCTCCCAGAGAAGAGGTCTGAAGACAGCTCTTTCTGTTCATACCTAGCCCAGGACAAGAGAAAATGAAAACAGGTTACAGCAGGAGGGCTTGCAGTTGATACAGACTAAGGCAAGAAAAGGACTTGACAGCTACGGCAAAGCTGACACTGGAATGGGATGGAAGGATATCTTTGGAAAATAGGAGGGGAGGTGAGATCTTGTCTGATGTCCAGAGGCAGGGGCAAGATCAGGGTGACCTCTGGTGGTTCTACTGGCTCAGGGAAGTCTGAGATGATTCTCTTTATGTGACTGCTTTGGGGGAAGTGGCCCTATTTTGTAACTCGAAGAACACTTTTTTTTTTTTTGAGACAGAGTTTCGCTCTTGTTACCCAGGCTGGAGTGCAATGGCACAATCTCGGCTCACCGCAACCTCCGCCTCCTGGGTTCAGGCAATTCTCCTGCCTCAGCCTCCCGAGTAGCTGGGATTACAGGCACGCGCCACCGTGCCCAGCTAATTTTTTGTATTTTTAGTAGAGACGGGGTTTCATCATGTTGACCAGGATGGTCTCGATCTCTTTAACTCGTGATCCACCCGCCTCGGCCTCCCAAAGTGCTGGGATTACAGGAGTGAGCCAGGAAGAACACACCTTCATCTAACCTGTCCAAACCATGGTGGGAGCTAATAGGTATACAGTACTTATGTGCCAGACATTATTGTAAGAGGTTTGCCTCTATCATATCAAATAATTCTTGCTGGGTGCGGTGGCTCATGCCTGCAATCCCAACACTTAGAGAGGCCGAAGTGGGTGGATAACCTGAGGTCAAGAGTTCAAGACTAGCCTGGCCACCACGGTGAAACCCCGTCTCTACTAAAAATACAAAAATTAACAGGACATGGTGGCTGGTGCCTGTGATCCCTGCTACTGCGGAGGCTGAGAGGTAGGAGGCCGAGGTTGCAGTGAACTGAAATTGCGCCATTGTACTCCAATCTGGGTGACGAGCAAAACTCTGCCTCAAATAATAATAACAATTCTCACAACAGCCTTGTGAGATAGGTACTAATGTCATCATCCGCATTTTATAGATGTGAAAACGAAGGCACAGAGAGGTTAGGTGACAGGTTCAGTTCCACAGCCGATACGTGGCAAAGCTGGGCTTTGGTCCCAGGCAATCTGGCTGCAGAGTCCAAGCTCATAACCATATAACCACCATGCTGTGCTTCTCTCTTGCTACAAATAATAACACTGACACCCTTAAGGCATCACCTCACCCCATGCACCCTTCCCCTGTCCCATCACAGGCAGCCCTGGCCTGAGACCTTAGCTGTGACCCAAGGGAACTGGTCTGACAGGTCTCCAGGCGGAGATCTCCAGGCTGTGTGACCTCTCCAGCCGGGCTCTGACATTCAGTGACAGGGAGTGAGGGTGGAGCAGGCCGCAGTGCTGGTGCCAGGGGAGTTAGTGCGTCCTCTTCCACCCTGAACCCTTTCTGTTCAGGAATGAGAGGAGAGAGTGGGTGAGGACGTTCACCTTGACCCATATCAGCTACTTCTTCCCAGCTAAGAACCCTGAGACTAACATGGTATAGCTTTTTTTTTTTTTTTGCACTGTGTCCCAGTAATAGGGCCCATCATGAAATAATATCTGATCAAGTCAACTAATGTTTACTACAGAGTTATTATGATCCAGGCAGCATTCCAAGTACTTCATTTCATTAACTTTTTGATCCTGATAACCCTGTGTGATAGGTACTACTTTTATCTTTTTTTATTTAAAAAAATTTATTTATTTATTTAATTTATTTTTAAGACGGGGTCTCTCCATGTTGGTCAGGCTGGTCTTGAACTCCCGACCTTAGGTGATCCGCTCGCCTTGGCCTCCAAAGTGCTTGGATTACAGGCGTGAGCCACCACGCCCGGCCAGGTACTATTTTTATCATCGACCCCAGTTTACAGATGAGGAAACTGGAGCACTGAGAACTTCAGCAACCAGCATGAGCTCACACAACCGGATGGTAATGCAAAAGCTAGGATTTGAACCCAAGCTTCTGGCTGCCGAGCCCACACACTTGACCACTGCCCCCGAGTAGCAGCCCTCTCTCCACCTCATCCTAGAAGGTTGCCATGCACACAAACATCCTGGGGGCACAGAGAGGTTAGAATAACAAACCTATCTACCTTTGTCTAACCCAGTGGTTTCCAAACTTACTTGGAGCTTGCCCGAGGGCAGAGTACCTCTACTGTCTGTGTCCTTTGCACACAGAGGAGGAAACATGGGGATGGGCATCATGGGAGATGGTAGGATAATGCTAAGAGCATGGCCTTTGGAATCAGACAGGCACAGGTCTGAATCCTGGTGCCCTTACTGACCAACAGTTAGGGCAGGCTGTAGAACCTGTGAGCTTCCTTTTCTCTAGCTGTGAAATAGGAAACAAATACCTACCTCTATGGTCGGCACCAGCAGCAGAGTTATTCAGTAGACTTTTACGTTTCTAAATAGTTGTGTGATCTCTCTGGGCTTTTGCTTTCCTTGGCAAAGTGAGAGAGATTTCTTAAGGTCCCTTCTTTAGTGCTCATGAGCTAGGGCCCCATTCTCTGACCCGCATGCTTATCCCCTGGGGGAGGACAGGAAATGACCAGCCTGGCCACATGACCCGGCACCTCCCCTCCTAATGTGCCCTCTCCCTGGTCAGAATAATACCAGGAAGGGGGCCGGTGCTGGAGCCTGGGTTGTGGGCTCCAATGGGAGTTGGGGCAGGGACTGGGGCCACCTGGGCATTTTGACATGAACAACAACAAGTCATTAGCACTCAGGCACTGTTTGTTCCGACAGAGGGGCTGGCTGGGTAGCATTCCTGCCCTTCCTCCCTTCCCTGGCTCCTCCTCCTCCTCATTTCCTGTCGTTAAGTCTCCAGGGTTCTATGTCTGGCACTGGGCTGGGCCCCATGACCCGGGCAGGGATACCCTTGGGACACCTAGTGACTTCCGCCCAGCCCTGGGCCAGGCGCCTGCGCATGCCAGACGTCAGGCCTCTGCCTGGGTATGCAGTGCCAAGATGCCTGTGCCCAGGCCTGGTTGCCAACCAGCAGGTCCTTTTCAGGGAGATGGGAAGGTAGGAGAGAGGTGGCTGGTGAGAAGAGAGAAAAGGGGCAGTGGGGTGCGGTGGGTGTAGGGAGACCAAGAATGGGAGCACTTCTGGATGGGAACTTGAACTTCTCCACAGCTGTCTGACTGTCCCAAGTATGTGTGACTGAATTACACAAGGCACCTCACCTACAGGCTTTTATTTCGTCGTAAGTCACAGAGGACTGACAATGCCCGCTCTGCCCATTTCACATCTGATCCTATTTTACATGAGATCCAGTGCAATCAAGGGGGTGGTTGTGCTTTGTGAACTGTAAGGTGAGCCCTTTGAGAGGACTCATAGAGGGCAGAGCACCCTGTCCAGAGATGTCCACAGACCCATTCTCAGGTGGCAGGAAGAGAAGGGTCATGAGGGGCTCTCATGGCCATTATTCCAGGGCATAAGGGGCCCCGGAGCACCAAATGGCTTGATTGTTAACAAGGGCAGAAATCCTTGCTAAGCAGTGTTGCCATGACAAAGCGTGTCTTCGTGAGCCAGTCCTGCGTGCCACCAAGGACTTACTCACTCTCGCAGGGCACGGGCTAGCAACATCTCAGAGAAGAAAGACGCCTTCCAGCAAGCAGCCCCACCCTAAGGCTTCACAGCTGAGTACTGGCTAACATGTGCATACAACTATATACCAGGCAATGCTTTAAACATTCGCTGTGTAGCAACTCATTTAATTCTCCCAAAACCTTATGAATTGGTATTATTAGTGCTTTATAGATTTTTTTTTTTTGAGGTGGAGTCTTGCTCTGTCACCCAGGCTGGAGTGTAATGGTGTGGTCTCTGCTCACTGCAACCTCTGCCTCCTGGGTTCAAGCAGTTTTCCTGCCTCAGCCTCCTAGTAGCTGGGATTACAGGCACCTGCCACCACCAGTTTTGTGTTTTTAGTAGAGATGGGTTTTCACCATGTTGGCCAGGCTGGTCTCGAACTCCTGACCTCGCAATCCGCCCGCCTTGACCTCCCAAAGTGCTGGGATTACAGGTGTGAGCCATCATGTCTGGCCCTTTATAGATGTTATAGATAGGGAAACTCAGGCAGGGAGTGAGAGGTGAAATCATATGTTTCAGGTCACATCTGCAATCACTGGGGGAGCAGGGATTTGAATCCAGGAGCCTGGCCTCAGGGTTTGTGTTTTTAACTACCAGGCTGATCCAAGGCACAGAGAGGGCAAGAGACCTGCTCATGGGCCTGTGGATGGGCACAGAACCTGGCTGGGGATCAGGCCTGTGACCCCAGCCCAGGAGCGGGCATTCCCAGGCCTCCTGAGTTGCTCACACCCTGGGCCCTGAGTAAGCAGAATGTGTGTCTTGGGGCTCTGATGCGTAAGGAGGCAGTCCTTGGATTGGGTCTGGTGATCAGGATGGCAGGGTGGGAAGACATGATGCCTGGGGCACAGGGTGCTGAGTGAATATTTGTTTCTTTGCTGAGTGAGGGCCACATGCATGCATTTGGGATTGGGGCCTAGGCAAGGGTGGGAGTGACGAGGGAGGGGAGTCGTCCAAGAGCTGGGCTTGAAGGTCTCACACTGACGTGCGTGCTTTCCCTGCTGCCCTCAGACACCACTCACCAACAGCGAGGAGTCCCTGGATTTCAGTGAGAGCCTCGAGCAGGTAGAAGCCTGGAAGGCGTGGAGCTGGGAGAGGTGGCACCATTAGGGGTTCAGAGCTTGAATGCTGTGCCCTTCCTCCCTCCAAGGCCTCCACAGAGCGGGTGCTCAGGGCTGGGAAGCAGCTGCATCGGCATCTGCTGGCCACCTGCCCGAACCTCATCCGGGACCGGAAGTACCACCTTAGGCTCTACCGGTGAGTGGAGGCCCTGCTGCCTCCCTGCCCGGCCTCACCGCTTTCTCGCCTTTCCACTCTATTCCAGGCTCCTGGGGCTCACCCTGCTTCTAGCAGGGGCATGAACCAGGCTTGGGCCTCAGAGGGTGCCTTTCTAAGGCAGAGTGCCTCCCTGCCCTGCCACCCTCCTTCCACTGGCTTCTCCCTATTCTTCCCTCTCCCCTTCTACCTCCTCTAGGCAGTGCTGCTCTGGCCGGGAGCTGGTGGATGGGATCTTGGCCTTGGGACTTGGGGTCCATTCTCGGAGCCAAGCTGTGGGAATCTGCCAGGTGCTGTTGGATGAAGGTGTCCTCTGCCATGGTGAGCCCAAGCCCAGGGTGGGGTGCCCTGGGCTGGGCTAGGCAGTGATGGGGATGGGACAGGGCAGTCCTGGGAAGCAGGCACCACTTGGGGAGTAATGAGGGGTGGCATTGCAGTGGGGTTTCATACCCACATGGCCTCAATTTCCTCTCCTCCCCCACACCTGGGCATCTGCCCCCCAGTGAAACACGACTGGGCCTTCCAGGATCGAGATGCCCAATTCTACCGGTTCCCAGGGCCTGAGCCCGAGCCCATGGAAGCTCATGAGATGGAGGAGGAGTTGGCTGAAGCTGTAGCCTTGCTCTCCCAGCGGGGGCCTGATGCCCTGCTCACTGTGGCACTCCGAAAGCCGTGAGTCAGAATCCCTGCGCCCTGTGACCCCAGGCTGCACACAGCACTCAGATTCCATGCTTGCTCAGATTGATCTCTGAGGGTATCCCTTACCTGTTGCAGAGGGAAGGGAACCTTGCTGGCCCAGAAGCCCCTGGCCCTGACTGCCATGGACTCGCTGTGTAACCCGGATTCCCCCACACTCCCAACACCCCCAAGTCAGTTTCTTCCTCTGTAAATGAGGGTGTTGGGCCAGGGGAGGTCTCTGAGGACCCTTCTCACTCAGAGACATAGTTGTGGCTGAAAGCAAGTGGGCTTTGGAAACTAGTCGGGTCCAGGTTCAAATTCCAGCTGGACCGGCAACTGGCTGTGTGACCTCGAGCCTCCTGCTGCTACTTCCTCTTCTGTCAAGTGAGGATAATAGGACTGCTCCATAGGCTTGGCAGGAAACAGTGCATGCAAAATGCTCATCACAGGCACTGCCACATGTGCGCGCTCAGTAGAGGTTAGCTGCTGCTGCTGACCGTCGATGCTGAGGCACTGCCGGGCACAGGTTTGGGCTGGGTGGGTGGGGTGGTTCCCTGCGCCTGGTCCGGCCCCACAGCTCACCGTATACTCCCATCCCTCCTGTGCCTGCAGCCCAGGTCAGCGCACCGACGAAGAGCTGGACCTCATCTTTGAGGAGCTGCTGCACGTCAAGGCTGTGGCTCACCTCTCCAACTCGGTCAGTGCCACCCTCCCAGCCCTGCTCCGGCCCAGGCATCTCCTCTTCCCATGACTTCCCTAAAACTCCAACCGCTGGGCCAGAGGGCAGTTTCTCCACTTCCATCTATGGCTGGAAATTTTCAGTCTGATTTCTTGCCTCTGGCGCTGCCCTGTCTGAAAACCCTTCTGCCTCCCTCAGCCCATTTTCTCCACTTGCCTTGTCTCCTGCCGAATCCTGGGAACTCCTGACCTGGTTCCACATCTCTGTCCCCCGGCCCTTGTGTCATTGGACCTGATCATAGCCCTGGCAGGAGCCTGGCTGCTCTGCAGGTGAACTTGCCCCACCGACTCTCCTATCTCCACCCAACAGGTGAAGCGAGAATTAGCGGCTGTTCTGCTCTTCGAACCACACAGCAAAGCGGGGACCGTGTGTAAGTCTGGCAGAGGACCAGAAGCCAAGCACAGGGCCTGGGCATGGGCAAAAGTATATGGAGAAGGAGTGGTAGGTGCCAAGAGGGCCAAGTCCAAGCTATGCTTCTGTCAGTGTTCAGCCAGGGGGACAAGGGCACTTCGTGGTACATTATCTGGAAGGGATCTGTCAACGTGGTGACACATGGCAAGGTGAGCCCCCCGCCTCCCGCTTCCCGCCCCAGTGCCCTGGGTCCTAACTGCTCCCTGGCCTGTGTCCTCATGGGCAGTGCCTTTGTTGGCCCCCTGTGTTTCCTGTCTGGGTTGTTTATCCTGGCATGGGTCTGTCCTGGCAAGGGCTGGGGGCGGTGGGTGGGCTGAGACTGAGGCCTGGCTGCAGGGACTGGTGACCACCCTGCATGAGGGAGATGACTTTGGACAGCTGGCTCTGGTGAATGATGCACCCCGGGCAGCCACCATCATCCTGAGAGAAGACAACTGTCATTTCCTGCGCGTGGACAAGCAGGATTTCAACCGCATCATCAAGGTGCTGCTGCCGGGGTCGGGGAGGGCAGGGGCCGTGGGTCCGGAGAAGTGATGTGGATGGAGGAGTAGGGACCAGAGCAGAGGGCCCGTAAGGAGCAGGGCAGGTAGGAGATGCTGGGCTATGGTGGCTGGCAGTGGGGACTATGGCCCTGAGTGTGTGTGAGAAGGGGAAGCACATAGGGCACAGAAGGGGTTCAGTGAGACCAGTGACTGCAGGCTCAGTGTGGGAGGCCAGGGGAGGGGTGGGCATGCAGGTTGGGGACTAGGCTGTGGGGGAGGCAGAATGCATGGAAGGAAGGGAAGGCTGGGGAGTGGAGCCAGAGTCGGAGGTGGGAGAAGGGCTGTGGGTCCCTGTAGGACCCTCATGGGGTTCAGGGGCCAGAATGAAGGAGGTAGATGAGAGGCTGTAAAGCAGGAACCATCATGTGTTGAGCATGGGGTGTGGCCTGTTTTCCAGGATGTGGAGGCCAAGACCATGCGGCTGGAAGAACATGGGAAAGTGGTTCTGGTGCTGGAGAGAGCCTCTCAGGGCGTCGGCTCCTCTCGACCCCCAACCCCAGGCAGGAACCGGTAACACACCTGCCACGCTTCCTTTCCACACTGCCTCTCCTTTCATTTCCCAGTCTCTGCTCCCTTCCCCTGTGACATACCCCTGCCCTCTGGCCACCTGTGAGTGGAGAGGTATTGAGGTACCAGGATGTGCCTGCTGAGGCAGTCTCCCCCCCCACACTAAGGTGGGACAGGGCTGGCTAATCGAGAAGAATGATGTGGTTGATTATTGATGTCTGCCCAGGAGTGGGAGTGGGGATTAGTGGCTCCAGTGCCATAGACTGGCCATTTCTGCTAGGTATACGGTGATGTCCGGCACCCCAGAGAAAATCCTAGAACTTCTGCTGGAGGCCATGGGACCAGATTCCAGTGCTCATGACCCAACAGGTAAGGGCAAGAGACGCCCTGCCTGCTTTCTGACTCACTGGGTGATCCATTAGCCTGGAAGAGAGCCCGGCACCCTGCGTCTGGCCTCACTGGATGCTCGGTTGGTCTCTGCAGTGGTTGGCAAGGGGTCCAGTTGCCTGTGCTCTTGGTCTTGAGGGGAGAGCACTGTCACAGGGACTGGACACTGCTGGTACCTTGCAGGTGGTGGGATGTGGGGAAGGGTCCCTCCAGCTGTCCATACACCTGTGTCAGCAGACTTGGCCTCTGAAGCCTCCTCCCACTCCCCCACCCTGCCCTACAGAGACATTCCTCAGCGACTTCCTCCTGACTCACAGGGTCTTCATGCCCAGCGCCCACCTCTGTGCGGCCCTTCTGCACCAATATCCTTCCAGCCCTGGGGTGATGTATGTGTAGGGGAGAGGATGGTGTGTGGGGTTGAGAGAAAGAACCTCATCAGCCTGACTGTGCTGAGTCCTCTAAATGCCAGCCTGCTGCCAGGCCCAGCTTGCTGGGGGCCCTGGGCATCCTTCCCCTCCTTTGCCTCAGGTGTGGTGGGTGGCCCCAGTTGAATGTTGTGGTTCCCTTGACTGGTCCCCACCTTCCATGCGGAACCCGCGGGTGGCAGCGAGCAGGAGCGCAGCACCTACGTCTGCAACAAGAGGCAGCAGATCCTGCGGCTGGTCAGCCAGTGGGTGGCCCTGTATGGCTCCATGCTCCACACTGATCCTGTGGCCACCAGCTTCCTCCAGGTATCTGGAAGTGAGGCACAGTGGGGCTGGGCTGCCTGGGGTGGACACAGCTACAGCCATCTCAGTGAATCTTGGCTCTTCTTAGAAACTGTCAGACCTGGTGAGCGGGGATGCCCGACTCAGTAACCTGCTGAGGGAGCAGTGGCCAGAGAGGCGGCGGCACCACAGGTGATGCTTTCACTCTGTTAACGTGTCATGTCCATAACTGGCAGTGCCATGGGCACCAAGAGCATATGCTGTGGAGTTGGGCACCTGGCTTCAGATCCAGGCTGCACCAGTTATTTCAATTCGTTGTCCATGTCAGTTCCTTTGCTGTTCACCCTCATGCCACATGTGCATCTATTCTCCTGCGTCATGTACTCATTCATTTATTCATTCTCACATCCTGAGTGCACCTGCTGCTCTCACTTCTTCCACTGGGCATGCGTTTATTACCGAATACCCTCAGTGCCAGCTCCTGCCCAGCCCCACCCAGTACATTTCCAAAACTACCTTCACCTTTGCAGATATTCCCACAGGAACAGCTGAGATTTGGGGGGGTCGGGAGTGCATCTGAACCAGCACTCCATCTGACACCTGGGGTCTGCATCTCAGACTTTAACTTCTTCCTTCCCCTTCTGGCCTTGGAAAATCACAAAGTCCAGGGGCCCGAGTTCAAGACTGTTTGCTCCTCTCTATGTGATACTTACCTGGTGAGGGCTGGGAGGAATCCGGATCCCCAAGGTCCTCCCTGCTCCTGTCCCCGGGATACCTGGGCTCACTCACCTCCCCTCTCTCTTGTCTGCAGGTTGGAGAATGGCTGTGGGAATGCATCTCCTCAGATGAAGGTGTCTGCCTGGCCCCAGCTTCTTTCCTCTGCTCCTTCTGGACTGCAGGCCCCTCCTTCGCCCCCCACCCTGAGGGACTCTTTGTGCGTGGGAAGCTCCCCTCCCGCAGACACACCCTGGGGTCTGTGATAGGTGTTCACAGGGCCCTTGATGCATGTGGTGGCCTGGCCAGGCCCTGCTGGGAGACACAGAGGCCTAAGGCAGCCTCCCTCCTCCCCCACTCCCTGACTCCACGGGCCTTTATGCCTTTTGGGAGGTAATTCTTGCCCATAGTTAGAGCCTGGGAGAGGAGGAATGGTGGCTGGAGTTGGTGTCTGAGGCCCATGGGATTCCTGGTGGCCAGTGCTGTGGGAGCTCAGGGGAAGGTGAGGCCCCTCCCTGGAAAGGCAAAGGCGACCCAGGCCATTGTCTGCTGGGGCTTAAGGGGAAGCAAAGAGCGGCTGAGAAGATGTGACTTCCCGGCAGCCAGGATTTGGTTGAGGAATGGGGGGAAAATAACTGGAAAGGTAGATTGAGTTGGTGGTGGGGAGGGCAGTGCTGGTAATGACATCCAGGGGCCTCACCCACCCCTGTGGTCGCACCTGCTGAACGCCCCGCCCCTGCCTGCTGGAGGCTCTCACGGGCTCCTCCTCCTCAGGGGAAGCCCATTCTCCCCTCAGGGCCTGTGCTCTTATCCCTTAGCCTGGAAGGGTCTTTCTCTGGCTCTGCCTGACAGAATCCTTCGTATTCTCATCTCAGCCAAATGCTGGGTTCCAGACAGGCCCCCTAGTCAGGCTCCCTTCCATCTCCTTATCTGAAGCACCCCCCCTTTCTCCCCAGCACACTCTGCTGGGGTGTCCTCTGTGGTTTCCTTCAAAGCACTCTCGCCGTGTGGAGTTGTTTTCTTTCCGTGTGGACTTGCTTACCGTCCTTCGGTATCTCCCATCCCACTGGAGGACTGACTTCCCTCCTGCGGGCCCCCACCTCCGCTTCTCCTGTGCTCACATGCTGCCTGGCTCTTGGCTGACGCTCAGAAACTGATGTGGACTTGACCTCCTGGGCCGGGCATGGGCACTGTGCTGGGTGCTGGTGCTGCACTTCAGCCCTGGCCTGCGGGGCTGCTGTCAGGCCAGGGGCAGAGCAGTTAAAACAACCCATGATGTGCTGTAACAAAGGTGGGGTGTCTGAAAATGGGAGGGGAAGAGCTAGCTCCAGTGCAGATGCAGGGAAAGTGTCCTGTGACGCAACTCCTGGAGCTGAGAGCTTCAGGGAGCGATGGTGGAGGAAGAAGAGGATTCCTGGCGGTCAAACCCAGGAGGAAAGGGAGCCCAGGAGGAGGGATCCCTGGAGGAACTAGAGTGAGAGCAGGACCCCAGAGGAGGCAGGAAGTGGGCAGGGCGCCCTGGGCCAGGGCCAGGGATCTGATCTTTGTCCTAAGAGCAGTGTCAACCATTGAAGGGGTTGAAGCCAATGTTGGCAAAGTCTGATTTGTGTTTTGAATAGGTCAGCTAAAGAGCCTGGGCTTTCTCCAGCAGACAATGGCCGCCATTGAAACCAAATGCGGGAGCTTAATGGGGTTCTGGTCAGACAGAATGGAGGAGGGCTGCAGGCACCTGGGAGGGAGGAAGAGGAGCAGAGTCCGGCCACTGGAGGAGATAAGGAGTGAGGCCTCGTGGGCAGGTGGAACTGGAGTTAACCTGGGCAGGGGAGGAGTGGGCACAGGAGACCCATTTCTTTTTCTTTTTTTTTTTTGAGACAGAGTCTTGCTCTGTTGCCAGGTGCCAGGCTGGAGTGCAGTGGTACGATCTCAGCTACTGCAACCTCCGCCTCCCAGGTTCAAGCAGTTCTCCTGCCTCAGCCTCTCAAGTAGCTGGGACTACAGACACGTGCCATCATGCCCAGCTAACTTTTGTATTTTTTAGTAGAGATGGGGTTTCACCATGTTGGCCAGGCTGGTCTCGGTCTCTTGACCTTGTGATCCTCCTGCCTTGGCCTCCAAAAGGGCTGAGATTGCAGGCGTGAGCCATCATGCCCAGCCAGGAGACCCATTTCAAAGAAGAATCCTCAAAGCAAGATGACAAGCCATGGGATGTGGGGAGGAGCCTGGAGCCTGGGAGAATGGCCGGGAAACAGAGTGGTCTGGGAGGCAGGATGCAAGGATCCGATGGGTATATGGAGTGTGAGGTGATGGATCACTAGTGTGGAAGGAGCCGGGGGCGTTTGAGACCAGGGTTCGGAAGAGAGTTCAGGGTTTTGGAAAAGGGTTTGGTGGTAGTTCTGGGAATCACCCATATGCACCATAGGAGGCACAGAGGAACTCTGTAGAGGGCCCTGAGATGTGGAAATGTAGGGAAGAGCAATGGATTGAGGTCTGAACCTGGATGATCTGCCACCCACAGAGCTGGGAGGAGGGACAGAGTCAGTACCAGTGTTGGAAAAAAGCAGGGTGGGAAAGGGAACCTGCATCAGAAGCCTGGCACCACAGCAGGTACTGCCTCGCCAGCAGAGGCTTGGCAGTGGTTTCCGCTCACTGCGTCCTTGCCGTCGGCTGGGACAGGGCACAGTAGTGTTGGTGGATAGGAGCGTGGAGTGGGAAAGGAGCAGGAGGGATTCCAACTCTGCCACTTATCAGCTGTGTGGCTTTGGGCATGTTACTTAACCTCTCTGAGCCTCATTTATTTCATCCATAAAATGGAAATAATAATACTTTTGTCAACGGGCCATTGTGAATATTTAGATCCTTAGAATAATGCCTGACTTGTAGCAAATGGTAGCTGGAGGGAAAGGAAGAGAAACCGAGTCCCTAGCTGAAGAGTTTTCCTATTAGGGCGGCTCTGGACCTATTTGGCAGAGGGAGAAGCCCACACATGGAGGGGCATGGATTTGCCCCACCGTTAGACGTGGGTCTTCTCCTGGAGCCTTGGCCCCAGGTGCCTTACCTGGGCTCAGGTGAATGTGGGAAGCAGAGCCCTCTAGTGGTATGACGGCTGTGTGGTGTCCGTGCTCCTGGGGACACAGGGCCCTCACAGTCCCCTCCCTGCACGCTCTCCTGTCATGTCCTCCCAGCCCTATTTTCTCTTTCCTCTTCCTCCCAGGCCCGGAATTTGCCAATTTGGCTCCCCAACCAGGACGAGCCCCTTCCCGGCAGCAGCTGTGCCATCCGAGTTGGGGACAAAGGTTGGTGGTCTGAGCCAGCCAGGCACAGCCCGACATCTGCTCCCTGCTGTCCCTGCCTCTCTTGTCCTGCTTCCGTCATTCTTGACCTCGGTGTCCCTCGGCCAAGGTGGCACGCTATACTCTTCAGGGTCTGTGCTCCAGGCTGCTGGCCACATCTGCCTCTTGCACCCTTCTTTTTGCTCAGGGCCTCCCCACCTGTAGCTCAGCCTCTTGGGGGATTCCTCCTATCATTGCAATGGCTGCCCTCCCTCTCTGGGGTGGAGAGATCAGGCAGCCCTTCTCACAGCTCAGTCTGGTCTCCTCTTCAGTCCCCTATGACATCTGCCGGCCAGACCATTCGGTGTTGACCCTGCAGCTACCCGTGACAGCCTCCGTGAAAGAGGTGATGGCAGCACTGGCCCAGGAGGATGGCTGGACCAAGGGGCAGGTGCTGGTGAAGGTCAATTCTGCAGGTGGTGAGTTGTGTCCCCGGGTAGACCCCAAGGGAGGGTGCCCTTAGGATGTGTGCGCAGGTCTCCCAGTCAAAGTCATGGTCATCATGCTCACTTTTCTCGTCTTCCTCAGTGTGAATGACGGCTAGCATTAAAGGGAGGTGGGTTGCATCTATTTGAAGTGCATTTCATGCAGTGCGTAAGAGCATGAGCTCTGGGGCCTGCTGCCTGCGTATGGCAGCAGCCCTTTAGCTCGCCATCTGTGTGTCCTCCAGCAGCGTGCTTCATCTCTCTGTGCTCAGTTTTATCATCCATAAAATGGGAATAGTAAGAGGACTTGCCTGCTGGAGGGACTGTGAGGATCAAATGAGTACATCCATGAAGGCAGTTAGAATGGCGCCTGGCACACGGTGACCCATAAGTATTATCATCATTTCTGTTTAGCTGTTTAATCTGAAATGGAAACAATCTCATGACATACAGGTTCTTTTATCCTATTTGCAGACAAGAACGCTGAGGTTCAAAGGGCGTGAGCCATTTCTCAGCTCACACAGTGAGAGTAGCTGGTGGCTGGGCGCAGTGGCTCCCGCCTGTAATCCTAGTACTTTGGGAGGCCGAGGCAGGTGGATCACAAGGTCGGGAGTTCGAGACCAGCCTGGCTAACGTGTTGAAACCCCATCTCTACTAAAAAAAGACAAAGAATTAGCCAGCTGTGGTGGTGGAAGCCTGTAATCCCAGCTACTCAAGAGCCTGAGGCAGGAGAATCGCTTGAACCCGGGAGGCAGAGGTTGCAGTGAGCTGAAATCACACTATTGCACTCCAGCCTGGGTGACAGTACAAGACTCTGTCTCAAAAAATAAAGATAAAATAAAGAAACAGAGGAGAGTAGCTGATCTTAGACCTTACTGTTTTTTAGTCACTCAGCAAACATTTTTGTGGGTCAGCTGTTAACCAGCAATATATTTTGAGCTGGAGATACCGCAGCAGGTCAGACAGGTCAGCGTGATGGTTAGGAGCAGGGACTGTGGACTCCCAGACCCGTGAAGGCATCTTAGGCCCACCATTTACTAGCTGTGTGATGCTGGGCAAGTTGCTTAACCTCTCTGAACCCGCATGACCTCACCTGTCAGATGAGGACGGTAACTATATCCCCACCGGGTTGTAGTGGCTGTAAGTGTGCTAATCTATGTAAAAGAACATGGCGGACTCAGGATAAGAAGGGGCCTCCAGAGAACCTGGAACATTCAAAATCACTGTTCTCTGTGGAGGGCACGTGCCTGAGAGCTGGAGCCCAGGGCAGACGAGTATTAGGGGCATTCAAGGGGTGGGGGTGAGAAAAGGAGCCTTCTCCCTTCAGAAGTGGGGTAAGATGGTGCCCTGCGTGCCCTGGGAAGCACTGCCCTCTGCTGGCCACCTGGTGAGTTGCAGTTGCCCAAAGGTGATGTTTATTGAGACCCTACTATGTGCCAGGCACTGTTTAGAGAACTGATCTCCAAAGCACTTGGATTGACACCCATGTCAATAACCAATATTTAATTAAAACCCCACTCCGCAGTGTGAATATCTGTTTATAAGTAATACACATATATTACTACACTAGTGTAATATAGACAAAAATAGAAATTGACGAAGTAGAAATGCAGAGCAGGTAGGAAAAAGAAACATAAGTAGAGGAGCTCATATTTTTCCCAGGCACATGGATGGTTGGATGTACCTCACTTTGGAGGCCACTGCTCTAGGCTCTGGGGACCGAAACACAGCCCTAGTCCATGAGGAGCTGATGAAAATCAACACAAGGCTTATGCAAGACACTTCCCAGTTTTCAGAGGGCTTTTATACATAGCACATACTTATAGCCACTCTTCATATACGTTATTTTATTTGACTTATGAAATAGTCCGGGCAAGTTTTATTGTCTCCATCTTACCAGGCTGAGGGAGGCTCAGACCCTGCCCGGGTTCTTCCTGACTCACTAAGACTCTTTTCTCATCCTCTTGGATGTGCTTCCCTGAGCAGTGCAGCTGCGTGGGCACATGCACCTGTGTATTCTGAGCACCCACCCAGGACTTCAACCCCGCTACTAGGAGAAACAACCTCCCAGCCTCCCAAACAGCACTTCCACCCTGGTCTCCAGCTGGTCCCTGGCCTCCCTCCCTTCCCCAACCCAGGCCGCCTCTGCTGTCTTTGCAGATGCCATTGGCCTGCAGCCAGATGCCCGTGGTGTGGCCACATCTCTGGGGCTCAATGAGCGGCTCTTTGTTGTCAACCCACAGGAAATGCATGAGCTGGTAGGGACCAGGCAGGGTGCCAGGGCCCAGGGAGGAGCTCTATTTTGAGGGTGGCAGGGATGGACTCTGGGGAGAGTCCCAGGGAGAAGAGGGAGGAGGGGCCTGGCTCTGGCTGCCACTGGGTCCTCAGCATGCAGATGGAGTGGGCCTCAGCTGATGGGGAGATTCCCAAGATTGTGAGGGCAGGGGCTGGTAGCACTGGTTGGGAACTCCCAAGGAGAAAGAGGACTCACCCTAGTTAAGGGTTCAACTGCTTTTGGGCAGGAGACAGGGGCCCAAAAGCAGGAGTCTTAGCACTGGGGAGCTCTATCCTCCAGCTGCTATAGCCCCTAGAGACCCTCCACTCCTTGCTCCTGCCCTCCTAACCTTCCTCCTACCTTGAGCATACAGTCCTTGCCCCAACCCTTTCCCCTACCCTATGCCTTTCCCTGGATGCCTCAGGCTGCTCCCTGAGCACTCTCCCACCTGCAGACCCCACATCCTGAGCAGTTGGGGCCCACTGTGGGCTCGGCTGAGGGGCTGGACCTGGTGAGCGCCAAGGACCTGGCAGGGCAGCTGACAGACCAGGACTGGAGCCTCTTCAACAGCGTCCACCAGGTGCGGGAGGCAGAGCTGGGGGAGGAGAGCAGGCAGCGGGCATCCAGCTTGGCTCTGCTTGGCACTCACTGACCTCCTGCCGCCCCTGCCCAGGTGGAGCTGATCCACTATGTGCTGGGCCCCCAGCATCTGCGGGACGTCACCACGGCCAACCTGGAGCGCTTCATGCGCCGCTTCAACCAGCTGCAGTACTGGGTGGCCACGGAGCTGTGTCTCTGCGTGGCGCCCGGCCCCCGGGCCCAGCTGCTCAGGAAGTTCATTAAGCTGGCAGCCCAGTGAGTCCCTGGCCAGTGGGTGGGGCATGGCCAGAGTCCCCAGGTACCTTGTCCTAAGCCCCCCCTCTTTGCTTTGTATGTTGCTGAATCTGCCACCCTACTTGTTCCCTGGGTCCCCTGGAGCCTCTGCCTTCCCACGCCAACCAGCTTGGGTCCCTGCTCAGGCTGGCCTAGCTGTAGTTTGGGGACACTAGGGGGTGGCTGCTTCCCTTCCCCTGAGGGTCTCTGGCTCTTCTGCTCACAGCCTCAAGGAGCAGAAGAATCTCAATTCCTTCTTTGCCGTCATGTTTGGCCTCAGCAATTCAGCCATCAGCCGCCTAGCCCACACCTGGGAGGTAGGTGTGGTCTGGCCGGCCCCATCCTGGGAGTGCTGGTTGGGGCTGGGCCTCCCCCAGCAGCTGCTCAACTGCCTCCCTTCACAGCGGCTACCACACAAAGTCCGGAAGCTGTACTCCGCCCTGGAGAGGCTGCTGGTGAGTCTCAGCCCCGCCAGGCCTGGCTCTGCTGGATCAGCTGCGCTCAGCCCTGTCTTCCAGACTCCCTGATTCTTGGCTTCCCCGAGGCTCCTCTGCCCGTCCATTATCACTTTTAGGGTTCCCAACCTTGGCCCAGGTTCTAGCTCCTTTGGCCTGTGAATTTGGGGAGCTGGCTGAGGAAGGGGTGCTCAGCACTAGGGTGGGGGGCTGCACAGTGTGCTCTGGCCCTCAGTGTGTAACTGTGTGGGGGCAGGAGATCCTGTGTGAAGCTGGAGCATGTAGGCGTCTGGTCCTGGGGTCTGAGGTGCCAGGGCAGCATCAGGGGCTGCAGAGCCTGAGTGCCTGGCATGGAGTGCTCCTGGTGCACCAGGGCCTGTCAGCCCCTCAGGAACTCCTCCGGGCTTGTAGAAGAGGCGAGGACAGAGCTGGGAACGATACCTCCCACCTCCAGGAACTTTTGAGGATTTTGACTATTCCGAAGAGAAGCAGAGGAGAGGGGCTTCATCAGCACAGCCTGGTAGCTCTTGAGAGAAAATCCATCTCATGAGGCTCAAGGGATTCAAAGTTTACTCTCCAGAGAGGGAGGGACACAGAGAGAGGAATATAAAGGACAGAGAGATGGCAGAGACAGACTTTTCCAAGAAACTTGGGGCCCCAGTGAGTAACCACTGTGAACATTCTCAGCGCTAATGGGAGGTTGGAAGTGCTGTGCTCGCCTGCGGCAGAGCCTGGGTAAGACCTGGACCGAGGAGTGGCTGAGCTGGGGTCTCTGCACCTGCTGTGGGAGGGGCAAGTGGCCCCTCATTGGTTGGCTGGGGTCTGTGGTGGCTTACGGTGTGTGCAACCCCCTCAGTGTGGCTTCTTCCCTAGGACCCCTCATGGAATCACCGGGTGTACCGGCTGGCCCTGGCCAAGCTCTCTCCTCCTGTCATCCCCTTCATGCCTCTTCTTCTCAAAGGTAACAGGCCTTGCTGCCTCCATCTCCCATTCCCCCTTCCTGCTCCCCCCAATTCTCCCTTCCTACCTCCATCCCCCATTCTCCCTTCCTGCCTCCATCCCCCATTTCCTCCTTCCTGCCTCCATCCCCCATTTCCTCCTTCCTGCCTTCCACCCCCCATTTCCCCTTCCTACCTCCATCCCCCATTCTCCCTTCCTGCCTCCATCCCCCATTTCCTCCTTCCTGCCTCCATCCCCCATTTCCCCTTCCTGCCTCCATCCCCCATTTCCCCTTCCTGCCTCCATCCCCCATTGTCCCTTCCTGCCTCCATCCCCATTCCCCCTTCCTGCCTCCATCCCCCATTCTCCCTTCCTACCTCCATCCCCCATTCCCCCTTCCTGCCTCCATCCCCATTCCCCCTTCCTGCCTCCATCCCCCATTCCCCCTTCCTGCCTCCATCCCCCATTCCCCCTTCCTGCCTCCATCTCCATTCCCCCTTCCTGCCTCCATCCCCCATTTTCTCCTTCCTGCCTCCATCCCCCATTGTCCCTTCCTGCCTCCATCCCCATTCCCCCTTCCTGCCTTCCACCCATTTCCCCTTCCTGCCTCCATCTCCCATTGTCCCTTCCTGCCTCCATACCCCATTGTCCCTTCCTACCTCCATCCCCCATTGTCCCTTCCTACCTCCATCCCCCATTCTCCCTTCCTACCTCCATCTCCCATTGTCCCTTCCTACCTCCATCCCCCATTCTCCCTTCCTACCTCCATCCCCCATTCTCCCTTCCTACCTCCATCCCCCATTTCCCCTTCCTGCCTCCACCCCCCATTTCCCCTTCCTGCCTCCACCCCCCATTTCCCCTTCCTGCCTCCATCCCCCATTTCCCCTTCCTGCCTCCACCCCCCATTTCCCCTTCCTGCCTCCATCCCCATTTCCCCTTCCTGCCTCCATCCCCCATTTCCCCTTCCTGCCTCCATCCCCATTTCCCCTTCCTGCCTCCATCCCCCATTTCCCCTTCCTGCCTCCATCCCCCATTTCCTCCTTCCTGCCTCCATCCCCCATTTCCTCCTTCCTGCCTCCATCCCCCATTTCCCCTTCCTGCCTCCATCCCCCATTTCCTCCTTCCTGCCTCCACCCCCCCATTTCCCCTTCCTGCCTCCATCCCCCGTTTGCCCTTCCTGCCTCCATCCCCCATTCCCCCTTCCTGCCTCCATCCCCCATTTCCTCCTTTCTACCTGATCCCCCATTTCCCCTTCCTGCCTCCCTCCCCCGTGCCATGCCTACCTGGGTGTGCACCCACACTGCTGGAGAGATTACCCCTTTCCACCTCCCCCTGTTTCCCCTTCCTGCCTCCCTCCCCCGTGCCATGCCTACCTGGGTGTGCACCCACACTGCTGGAGAGATTACCCCTTTCTGCCTCCCCCCATTTCCCCTTCCTGCCTCCCTCCCCCATGCCTGCCTACCTGGGTGTGCACCCACCCTTCTGGAGAGATTACAGCTCAGGTGCTGGTGCCTCCAGGAGCGCAGAGATGAATTAGGAGTTTCCAGGCTGGAGGAAGAGTTAAAACACCAGACAAATAAGGGCTGCCTTTGAGGGCCTGTGTGAGGAGCCTGAGAGATACAAGGAAATGCTGCTGGGGCTTGGCAGGGCCAGGGGCAGGGGCCGCTTGGGGCGAGGCAGGGGCCGCGTGGGGCGAGGGAGGGGCCGCGTGGGGCGAGGCAGGCCCAAGGGAGCCGTTATGTCCTTTACCTTTTCTGGGCTGCAGGAGGGCAGGAGTTTGGGGACCTATGAATGAAACCTGTCTCTTTGCAGACATGACCTTCATTCATGAGGGAAACCACACACTAGTGGAGAATCTCATCAACTTTGAGAAGATGGTGAGTGCAGGGAGAGCGGGCATCTGCCCCTGACATAGGGACATGACTGTGGCCTGGGAAGGGGCAGGGCTTGGAGGCGGCTTAAACTTGTTACAAATAATATGAAGATAAATACTTAATGTGCCATAGTCCTGCCTTATTCCACTGCAGCTGGAGGCTCTGCCAGGGTACCAGCCTCAGACAGCTCACCATCAACGAGAGCCCTTCCAGCCCTCTTCTCTCTAAGCCCTTCTCTCCTGGCCTCTGCTTCTGTCCTCTGTCTGGTCCTCGCTGGGCCTCTGGGTGTGCTGGGGAGAAGTACACATGACCCCACGTCTTATAGCCCCTAACCCTTGGTTCAGAGGGAGCTTGGCCTCCCTGCTGCTGTATAGAGCGGGACAGGGTCTGTCTCTCAGGCAAGAGCTCATGCTCCGGTGTTGTCTGCAGCGAATGATGGCCAGAGCCTCGCGGATGCTGCATCACTGCCGAAGCCACAACCCCGGTGAGAGGGCGGGTCCCAGGGCAGGAGGTCCCCCACCCTACATCCTCTGTGAGGCTCCAGGGTGGCTCTGACTCCCTGACCCCCCACCCCGCCCCACAGTGCCTCTCTCACCACTCAGAAGCCGAGTTTCTCACCTCCACGAGGACAGCCAGGTGGCGAGGATTTCCACCTGTAAGTGTGGGTGGGAGGGGGTGCTCATCGTAGTTACCCATATCCTGGGTACTTGCCACATACCAGGCACCAAGCCCGGCCCTTCCATACATGACAGTGATAACGTTAGCCCATGATATCGATGGTGTTCAGACTCTGTGCTCTGAGCCACAGGGCTCTCTGTCCCCTCACCCATGGGGAATTGATGATGGGAAATGGTTGGTGGGTGGCAGAGGGCAGGAAGGCTGATGTGATGTGGCTCCTTGGAGGGGAAGGGTTGCGCTCCACAAAGGGGCGTTGGTGCCTCCCTGACTGCTCTCCTCCCGCCAGGCTCGGAGCAGTCCCTGAGCACCCGGAGTCCAGCCAGCACCTGGGCTTATGTCCAGCAGCTGAAGGTCATCGACAACCAGCGGGAGCTCTCCCGCCTCTCCCGGGAGCTGGAGCCATGAGGAGGGGCTGGGACTGGAGCTGGAGCAGGCACTTGCTGCCAGGAAAGCCGGGGTGTGCTGGGCCAAGATACCCACAGGCTGGCCACAGCTGGGCAGGGCTCTCTGTGGAGTGGACTCGAGGCCCTGGAGCAGGCAGTGTGGAGGCAGCCGTCCCCTGTGATGACTGGCAGCTAAGGAGGACCTCGGAGTGGACCCGAGCCAGGAATGGGGAATGACCCAAGGCCAAGGAACGGGGGACAGAGGCCCCAGGAGTGGGTGGAGAGTGGAGTGCGCTGAGACGTCGTGTGCAATAGAGAGCTCTCCACACCAGGTGTTTTCCAGATTCTGTGCCTCTGGCTCTGTGGTCCAGCCAGGCCTGCGGTTTGTTTTCACCATGGACAAGGACACACAGAGAGGCTGCATGTGTGTACCGTGTGTGGCAAGCGCAGGGCCTTGGCCTGGGGCAGGGCCCACTGCTTTTCCTTCCGCAGCATCTGAGATAAACAGCAGGCGGTGGGGCTGCAGGCCTGCGTGGAGGTCCCCAAGGAGCTTTATTGTTACTGGCAATGAACACAGTAGTGTGTTCCAGGCCAGCCTGGAAGGGGCGTGGCAGGGAGGCTGAGGCCCCGCCCTCTGGGAAGGAGCCCCATGCTGGGCACGGGCTAGGCCGGGTCCCAGATCCTGATGCCACACAGATGCACTTCCGGGGGTTGGGCCATAGGGCGGGCTGGAGCTTGGAGCCCCTGTCAGCAGCCAGCCGGGTGACCAGCTCCCCATGGTGGTTCGATAGGACTTTACAGTCCAGACAGAACTAGTAGCTTCCTCCCGACTGCAATCCCTGCTGCTCCGCACTTGGGCTCATGCTGGCCTCTTGGGTGGTGGTCAGGCTTCTGGGGTCTTCTGTGGGTGGCTCGTGATAGAAACAATCCTGAAGCTTCCGTAGAGAGCCCATTGCTTATTGAGGCCCAGCAGACTCCCAGGAAATCAGGGTTTCTCATCAATGTTGAGAATGGTCCCTGCAAGCTCTGGTCATGTCACGTCCTCTCCTCCCTGCCCCTTCAGCACTTCTCTTAGGAACCAGCTACTGCCAGACCCCTCCTGTCACCCAGGAAGCTCCGGGGACTCCACCCTCTTGCCTCACCATTGCCCTGAGTCCTGGCAGCAGGAGGCATCTGGCCAGACAGAGACCTCATGGCCGGCCCCTGGCATGAACCTTGAGTAGGTATTGAGGCTGCAGGGCCTTGGGCGTCTGGAGGTGGCTGGTATGGCCCCGCTGCACTTCAGCTCCGTGGACGTGGATACACAGGCCAGCTGCTTCCAAAAGGGCCGGAGCCCTCAGCAGGCCCAGCACAGCTGTGCTTAGATCCCAGGTCACTAAGTGAATCTGAGCAAGTCACTGAACAGCGCTCTGCCTTCATTTCTCCACCTGTAAGCCGGGTTTGACAGACACATAAAACTTCAGCCAAAGGGACAGCCGTGGACCGGCCTGTGCCGTCGGGCCTGGTAGGGAGGCATTGTCGCCTCAGATGAGGGCTGAGGGAGAGACTGAGGTGGAGCAGATGGCAGTGGCAACCAAACCAGTTCCCTTGCCGTGGGTGGGGACAGAGGAGAGACACAGAAGCATCTGGAACTGAGCAGTTGGGATGGGAGACTCCAGCCTGGGTGAGTCAGGGGCTTTCTTCTCCTCCAACTCATTGTCTGCTGGTGTCTTGGCAGAAGCCAGCCAGCCAGCTGTGGCCCTTCACTCTCCTTTAGACTCCAGGGTGAGCCCAGTCCAGCGACACAACAGAAACCAAGCGCCATGGGGGCCCACGTCCTCCAGCATGTCTCCTCTGGTCATATCTACATCCTGATGAGACTTCTCCCTCTGCCTTGGACCATCAGCTAGCTTTACAGTCCAGACCACCCTGTAGCACCCTTTGGCCTCCCAGCTGTCCCAGTCTCTTGGGCAGGACACCTTTTGAGCCTGATGGGAGAGGCCTTGCCAGGAGAACGGTGCTCGGGGTAGGCAAGAGGACCCAGACTCTGGGAGCTGGAAGAGCTTCGGCCCGTGGGTCCGGGCCACTCCCAGAGGACAGGAGGCTCAGAACCGGGGAAAGGCTCCGTGTTCTTTCCACTACGGTGGCCTCATGCTCGTAGGCTGTGCTGCCTTCTGTCTCCCTGACTGCCCAGGCATGGGATGGCGTGGGGTGGGAGCCGTCCTGTCGTGTTTCCTAGTGGCTCAGGCTGTGTGCAGGGGCTCCCATTTTGTGTCTCAGCCACAAGAAGACCAGAATGGGAGGAGGTGCTCATGGGACTGCTGAGAGGAAGGTGTGAGGGAAGGGAGCGGTGGCCTGAGATCAGTCCTTTTAAAAGCCTTTGTTTTGCTGGGCACAATGGCTCACGCCTATAATCCCAGCACTCTGGGAGGCTGAGGTGGGTGGATCATGAGGTCAGGAGATCGAGACCAGCGTGGCTAATGTGGTGAAACCTCATCTCTACTAAAAATACAAATTAACTGGGCATGGTGGTGCACGCCTGTAGTCCCAGCTACTCGGGAGGCTGAGGCAGGAGAATCGCTTGAACCCAGGAGGTGGAGGTTGCAGTGAGCTGAGATCGCACCACTGTACTGCAGCTTTGGTAACAAGAGCGAAACTCCATCTCAAAAAAGGAAGTCTCTGTTACCTGAAAGGAGGTCATGTAGAGAGGAATGGCTGCGTGTGTGTCCTATGGGGCAGGGCAGGACAAAGGGAGGCCATTATTACACACATCTGCCTTCCTTCCCCCTTCCCCTCCACTTCCCTGTGAAGGCCCAGGGGGCCCTGACTGTGGGGTGCACACCAGAGAGGGCCACCCTTTCCACAGAAGGGGTGGAGTGGTCAGGGGAGCCGGCACCCTCTGCTGCTTCAACATCTCCGCCTGGAACCAGCTGTCCCCTCTCTCCCAGGCTCCATCCAACAAGAGGAAGGCACAGCCTGAGATCCAGCACCCCATCCCCTCCATTCAGCACTGAGAGCTGGGGGGGGGCACGCCTGCCTGGTGGCTTTTGTGTCCCCAACAGCCCTCAGCCTCTGGCTGCTCTCCTTCCTAATAGGCACAGGATTTACCATGATAATAATAGGTTATGATCTGAATAGAGTTTTCATCCTCTTTCATCTTCATACTGTCTCACGTTATCTTATTTTTATCCTGATAACAGAAATAGGTACTGCAGTGTTTTTAGCCGGTTTTTACAGTCAAAGAAACTGACACACAGGCAGGTTTGCCCAAGGTTAGTTACAAAACTGCTTAATAGCAGGGTAGACAGATGAAGTAACTGGATGTGTATCAGCCACGCCCCCGCCGCTCCCCAGGACAGCTCCCTGAATCCCAGCATTTTCTTCTTTCGTAGGATTAGACCCGGGCATATACATTCCCTTTTCCCTGTCTCCGTTCCCACATCCTTTCATTTTCACATACTATAGGCCCTGGAGAGGATCTGTGAACAAGACGAAGGCCGGGTGCAGTGGCTCACGCCTGCAATCCCAATGCTTTGGGCGACTTGGCGTTTGAGACCAACATGGGCAACAAAGCGGGACCCGGTCTCTGCGAAAATAAAAGTTACCCGGGCTTGGTGGTGCGCACCTGTAGTGCCAGGTACTTGGGAGGCTGGAGTGGGGGAATCGCTTGAGCCCAGGAGTTCGAGGTTACAGCGAGCTGTAGCTGCACTCATCCTCACTTTGATGGATAAAGACTGTCTCCAAAAAGGAAAAAAAACCAAGAGTGGTAGTTCTGGCCCTCATGGGGTCAACTACCCAGCCAGGCAGCCAAGTCCATCAGTATCAGAAGATGCCCAGGGGTAAAGCTCAGAGCAGCGGAATTCCAGGGCCGGCGTGTCAGTGCTTACCCCAAGCATTGAGTCCCAGAGCGCTCCGCGGTCAGAGCACAGGTTTACAGTCCCAGCTCCCCGATCCCTGCATAGCTCTGTCCCCTGAGATGGGGGTGCTCTCCACTCACCACTGGCACAAGCCACCTGAGTAGGAGACAGGTATGGTGGCTGGTGGCCAGAGCAAATTCTGACCTGGCAGTTGTCCTCAACCCCTTTCTCCTTTTCACAGACCAATAGGCTGGAAAGTACATGTATTTCAAAAATGTATCCTAAGACCCCAACCCACACTCAGTATTGAGCTCCTCCTACATCTGCAGGCCATGGATCTGTACTAGGTAACTGCCCACCCAGGCCTGTCCAGTCGCTGCAGCCAATCCAGGCACCCTCCTCTCAGATTCTGGACGCTTCAAGACCTGAGCTGTAGTCTTCCTGCAGCACAGTCTGCTGGCATCTGAGGGTGAAGGGGCTCGAGGGTTAGGGCACAGGTGACTACTGTCCCTCCCAGTGATGATAAAACTGGATCTTCCTGAGAAGCCGGGTGTGACTCAGCTACACTTAGAAAGCGTCTTCTCTCCCATGCCTGAGGGCCTTCCTGGAGCAGGTGCCTTGATGGGGTCAGGGGAGGATGCTGCTGGTGGTAGTCAGTAGGACACGGAGGAGCCTGGTGACTCCCAGAAGAAGAAAGGTTAAGCTCAGAGCTTGGACCCACTTTTTGTGTTAGGAGGTGTGGGATTCTGGTTGTGTGCATGTGTGTGTAGACTCTGATCAGTGTGCACCCTGGACCAGGCAGCTGGATGCTTCAGGCTTCACCCCGACTTTGCCTGCCATGCTCTTGGCCCTTGGAGAGCACCCAGGTCTTGGTTTTCTCGCTGGAGTGAGTTGTAGGCAGCTAGAGCTGCTCTGGACTGCTGAATGGAAGGCTGGACTGGCTTTCCTGGCACTTAGGTGATGACCCTAGCCTGCAGGGGGTAGAGACAGGGTGCCTTTTTAGGGGGTTATGACAACAGGACATTTTAAGCTTACTTGACCACCCAGAAAAGTGCTCTGTCCACCAGAGTGTAAGGTGGCATGGGGGTCCCATAGGTGGGCAGTGTGCTGGGGCAGTGGTAGGGGACTCGGTCTCTCAGCATCCCTGGGCAAGGCAAGGGCCTTCTTCTTCCTGGGCCTCACTTTTCCCATTTAGAAACAGGGATTTGGATGAGAAGTGTTTAGGATCTATGTTCTCGGTGTCTATGAATTGGGCAACTCAGGGTATCGAAAGGGGAGGAGGTGCGGGCCCTTTACATTGTCTTCCCAGTGGTGGCTTCCAGCCATGGCTGCTGATGGAGGGAGAGTGAGCTGCAAGCTCTGCTTTATCAGAAGGGTTGTCAGAGCTCCTACTCCTGAGCATTGCTGCCTGCTGCCTGCCTGAGTGCATCACTGCTTGCCTTCTACTCTTTGAGTTCTAGTTGTCAATACAAGGCCCCTGTTGTGTAGACATATAAGTTGGGAAGATTCTAATGGCCCAATTGTAAATTCTAATTAATGCTTAGAATGGTCACGTTTAAAATGAGGATAGAAAAGGAAGAGCCCTGAGGCAATGGCAGTAGGGGATTTTAGGTGGCGAGGTCCAGAGATGATGACTTAGGGTGGGAGAGTGTTACAGGGGCCCTGGGAAGCAGGGCCTCCAGGGTGGGGGTCAGAGGGAGAGGTAGGTGGCCAGTTTCATCCTCTCAGAGTTGCTGGGGCTGAGCCCTTCAGGAGCAACTTGTGTGCTGGAGGGAGAGCCTGCACATGCAGGATGGGCTCTGGTGGCCCACGGAGAAGGTCAGCCATCTCTGTTTCTCTTCTCTGGTTCTTGACTTTGCACTGGGCAGCTAGGAATAATCTCATCAAATAGACCTCAAGGCTCAGGAGGCTGAGCCATGGATTTGCTCAGCCCCATTGCAGCTTTTAGCTTCCCCCAGAGCAAAGCACTGTTCCTCAGGTTGCAGGCCACAGCCCTAGAAAACAGCTGGTTCATTTTGGCACCAAACCAGGTAAGTTAGACAGTGCGACTCATCAAAGGGGCGTTCCCAAGACTTGAAATACTAAGGGTACACATTTTTTCAATGAAAATTTATCTTTGGAATTATAAAAGAAATATTACACTATGGAGAGTGTAGATAAGAGAAGTTGCCACCTTCTCACTATTGTCATTTTTCAGAACATTTTTTTTTAAATTTCTTTAAGACAGAGTCTTGCTCTGTTGCCCAGGCTGGGCTCACTGCAACCTCTGCCTCCTGGGTTCCAGCAATTCTCCTGTCTCAGCCTCCTGAGTAGCTGGGATTATAGATGTGCATCACCACACCCAGCTAATTTTTGTATTTTTAAGAAGACAGGGTTTCACCATGTTTGCCAGGTGGGTCTCCGGACCTCAGGTGATCCATCCTTCTTGGCCTCCCAAAGTACTGGGATTACAGGTGTGAACCATTGTGCTCAGTCACAGAATACTTTTAACGTTCATTTTTCAGGTCTTTCCTAACCATCCTATAATTAGGCCCTTGTGGCTATATATATGTATGTATTTTTAACAAGTATCTGGCCTTATGTGTTAGGCACTGTGCCCAGGCTGGAGTGCAGTGGCGCAATCTCAGCTCACTACAACCTCCACCTCCCAGGTTCAAGCAATTCTTCTGCCTCAGCCTCCCGAGTAGCTTGGACTACAGGCACGTGCACCACGCCCAGCTAATTTTTTGTATTTTTAGTAAAGATGGGGTTTCACCGTATTGGCCAGGCTGATCTTGAACTCCTGACCTCGTGATCTGCCCGCCTCAGCCTCCCAAAGTACTGGGATTACAGGCATGAGCCACCGCACCCGGCCAACCTTTGCAAATATTAACTTAGTCCTCACTACAGCCTGCTAAGGTACTCTTACTTGTTCTATTTTAGATCTACAGGGGAAATTGAGGCACAGAGGGGTCAGGGAACTTGCCCACGGTTGTACAGCCGGTGAGTGGCAGAGCTGGGATTTGAATCCACGCAAACTGGCTTTAGAATCAACAGTCTGAGCTTCATGTTCTGCTGTCCTGATCTGACTGTAAACGCTGTTTGTTTATGTCTTTCTTTCCCTCCAGCTGCTGAGCTGCTCACCCTTTATCCACTTTGTGTATCACAGTGTCTGGCACAAAGTGGCACTCAAGTGTGCTGTGTCAGGTGAATGAAAGAATGAATGAGAAAGGGGGATTTCCCATAAACCAACTACCTTAGCACAGTAATTATGGTAATTTGACAGATTGTAGATTTCAAATCATGGGTAAAGAACTGCTCCTGCCAGTCCTGTCGTCCTGTCATTGTCTTTGAGACCAGCCAGAACAGCCCAGCTGTGCCAACATACCTTGGGTGAGAAACAGCCCAGGTTCCTCATGCCAGTGGCCAGCTGTGGGTCGGCCTTGGGCCTGTCTCTCTTGAACTCCCAACCACAAGTGATCCGCCCGCCCTGGCCTCCAATGTGCTTGGATTACAGGCGTGAGCCACCACACCCTGCCTGGGCCCATCTCTCTCTCAATCTCACCCTTACTCACTCCCTTGCTGTCTCTCTGAGCCTCCTAATTGCTGTCTGCCTGTCTTGTCCACTTCTCATTGTGCCTCTAGACACTCTTCAAAGCCAGTGGAGTTTGAGGACGTGGAATAGTAATTCTACTTTATAATAATACTGGGCAGTGTGAAACAAACATTGGCACAGCTGGAAAGAATGTAGGCAGGTGGTTACTTTGGGACCCTAAAAAAGCAGGATACAGCTGAGATCTCTGTGACATTGTGGGTTCAGAGACTGCAGTAACTGCCCAGTCCCTGCGGTGGCTGCCCCTTGTGGGGTGGTGCCAAGGATGACTTGGGGGTTTAGGTCCTCCGAAATTTCCATTAGGCCCCAACAAGTATACAATATAGCTAAAAAAAATAGTGTATTTGTTATGAAAACGTAACTTCGAGATGGGTCTCTAGATCCCACATCCCCCACTTTGGATAAACTCTGGGGCTCCACAGCTGCCGGAGACCCATTTTTACTGTCCTCTGCTTTGCTAACCTTCACTGATTCTTTAATAACAAGTGGGGCTGGAAGGCTGATCAGTGCCCTGATTCATTTAATATTGATTCACTGCAGGTCCCAGGCATGGGCTGATAATTATCTAACTGTTATATTCTGACACACATTGGATCGCAATACAAAGGACCCATGAAGCAGGGTTCCCTTCCCAAAGAATTTCAGAGGAAAAGTTAAACGGCAGTGCAGAGGTTAACCGACACCGCGTTGGCAGCAACAGATGGTCAGAGATGATGTGCTGTGTCAAAGGCACGAGGGACAAATGTGCACGACTGAGTTCATAAGCAGGAGCAATCCCGTGGGCCGGAGAGGGGAGCTCAGGCTTGGTGGAAGGGTGGATTTGCCCTGGGGCCGGAGGATGAGTAGGAGCTGGACAGCTGAGCAGGGAGGGTGGGGGAGGGTATTCTAGGCTGAGGACCAGCATGGGTGTGGCTGGCAGAACTGGAAGCACAGCATGGGACTCTGATGAGTGGGGCTAATTGGGAGGTCTGACGAACATGCTCAGGCCAGGCAGTGAGTGTGACGCTGATGTCAGGGCTGCCCACAAGCCTAGGAACAGATGTGGTATGTACCATACTAACCAGTGTGGGGAAAGAAATCACACACGGAGGCGATTCTGAGACACATTCAATAAGAGCAGACATGGGTGACTGTCCTGCGCTTTATCCTGTGGGCCAGGGCAGCACGCCCAGGAGATCCAGCATCTGCAGCTGCCAGGGTTGCCTTGGATGGTGAGTCTGGGCCTCCCCTGTGCTGGGTCAGCTGCAGGGTCCTTCCGTACTCAGGTCCTCTGCTGAAATGACTCAGTCTTGGTTTTGCAGGAGGACGAGGATGGTAGAATAGCCTGGCCTGGGCAGGTGGCCCCTTCAGTAGTCCTCTGGGTCAGTCTCTCTCATGGCCTATTGATCCGGACAGACCCCAGACCACCTGTGGTATCCCAGAGATGAATGAGTCCTACTTCAAACAATGGCTGAGGCTTATCTAGCCTCTGTCCCACCAGAAACCAGTCAGTTCCAGGAAGAGTTTTCCAACCTTGCCTGAACCCTCCCAGTCCAATAACAGCATAGCACCTGGCAGGTAGTGAGCACTACAAACATTTGGCCGATGAAATTCTCACCCTCTGCATCTCTGACAGTTCTCCCAAATCCTTGCCCTCTTCCCCACTCTCCAAACCTCCACAGAGGCCACAACTGCACCATCTCTGTTGCTATTCTCATCACTGGGTCACCATCCACCATGCATTTCCCTCTACCCTCTCCCTACCCCAGGACCCAGCCTACCTTGACGCCCAACTTGCTGGCTGGTCCTACTGTGGCTTCTCGTGAAGCTTGCAAGGATGGAAAGCCCATGTGAGTGCCTAAAAAGAGGGAGAACTTAGAAAGAAGGAGCAGCAGAGTTCTTGGTCCAGAACAGGCTAGCAGGGAAGAGAAAGCCGTCTGAAATATACCTTAATGTATCTGTGGGTATATGTGTATATGTGTGTGTGTGTACACACATATATGGACATCTAAGTTTATGAGGCATCTTTGCATGAATATGTATTGATATATTTTCATTTATTGGCTTAATGGATTTTTTTCTGCTGTCCTGACATGCCTTTGCCTTCATCAGCATGCCTTTGGTTACAAAATCTGGGGTTTGGGAATCCGATCTGCAAAGAGGGAGTATGAACAGCCCTGGGAGGGCATGTCCCAATTCCCCACCCCTCAACCCTCAGCACCAGAGGCATTGACGTAGAGGCAGGACAGGCACTGAAGGTTGTTGAGGCAGTTGTGACATCCTATGAGAAGTGGAACTAGATGACTGTTGAGGTTCGTTTAATTCCAGTGAATCTAAATCTAGACTGCTTTGTATAGTAACCAGGACATGGTTAAGTGATGGTCGAACGTGTGATGTCGTGGGCCATGGAGCTTCAGTGCTTATGAGAATGACCTCTGGTCAGATGCACCTGGGTTGAGGCACAGCTGCATAAGTTAATAATTGTGTGCTCTGGACATATCTCCTAACCTTTCTGTGCCTCAGTTTCTTCATCTGTAAAATGAGGATGGCAATAGTACCTATTAAGGTTGTGGTGAGAATCAATGAGATAACACATATGATGAGATAACACAGGTGATAAGGGCTCAGTCAGTGTTGCTGGTGGTTGTTAGGCTGTTATTCTTGTTGAGGATGCAGTTTGAAACACCTGGATCCTCAGAGGAACCACCTGGCTCTGTGGAGTCAGCCTTAACTGTCTTCCCCAGCTCCCATCCTTGCTTCTGACTTAAAATTCCACTAATGGGGGGAAGAGCTCATGCCCTCAAAATGCCATCCCATAGCCAGTTCAGCTGGACACCAAGAGAACCTAGCCAGGCTGCACTCCACCCTGACAGCTTTGGCTCCAGCCAGGGTCCACCCAGCTGGACACTTGGAAGGGACAGACCATTCAATCCCAAGTTCTGAGGCATCGCTGCTTCCCAGGCCAGCCAGTGACATCCTCCTTTATCCCCTAAACAACAGGAGTCAGAGATATTTTTATGTGGTGCCATCCAGGGAGGATGAGGATTCTGATGGGCAGTGGCTCTGCAGCCTGCTTTTGGGTTGTGCACATGAAACTTATGCAAATGAAGCAGCCACTTCTGCTCTTACTCCCTCTAACCAGCTTCCTTCTGGGAAAGAAGGGCCAGGCTCACTCTTCAGTTGTGCTTCCGGACCAGATGCAGTGGTTCACACCTGTAATCCCAGCGCTTTGGGAGGCTGAGGTAGGTGGGTCACCTGAGGTCAGAAGGTTGAGACAGCTTGGCCAACATGGTCTCTATTAAAAATACAAAAATTAGCTGGACATGGTAACACATGTCTGTACTCCCGGCTACTGGGGAGCTGAGGGATGAGAATTGCTTGGGCCAGGAAGACGAAGGTTGCAGTAAGCTGAGATTGCACTGCTGCACACCAGCCTGGGCAACAGAGCAAGATTCCATCTCAAAAAAAAGAAAAAAAGGCTGGGAGCAGTGGCCCATGCCTGTAATCCCAGCACTTTGGGAGGTTGAGGTGGGTAAATCAAGAGGTCAGGAGATCAAGACCATCCTGGCCAACATGGTGAAACCCCGTCTCTGCTAAAAATATAAAAATTAGCTGGGCATGGTGGTGTGCACCTGTAATCCCAGCTGCTTGGGAGGCTAAGACAGGAGAATTACCTGAACCCAGGAGTTGGAGTTTGCAGTGAGCTGAGATCATGCCACTGCACTCCAGCCTGGCAAAGAGTGAGACTTCCTCTCAAAAAAAAAAAAAATTGCACTTTTGATTTTGGTGTGAGCCCCTTGCAAAGGTTGCTTGCCCTAGGCTTATCCTTCTCACTACCTGAGTCCCTTTGTTTGGACTCATCTCTATACAGCAACAGGCTGCAGGGGTTCTCTTTAACCCACCAGCAGCTGTTCAACTTGGTGCCTGGGCAGGAAACCTCAAGATTAAAGTCTGAGAACTTGGAAGGAATTGTCAGATCCAACCCCTCATTTCAGATGAGAAGGCTGAAGACCTGTGAGAGGAAGAAACTTCTCCAGGTAAAGCACACTGGATGAAGCTGTGCTCCACCTCCAGCCTCTAGAGAAGAAATCACGGATGGAGTGGCCTCCACTGTTCCGCAGTTTTGCCTCTTTGTGTGATGGTCTTCTTCTCTGAGAGGGTTGAGAATCCCTATGCAGTGCTCTTTCTGGCAAGGTCATTGTACTTAGCAGATTTTATGTATATTATCAGGGAAAACTTGACAGTCACGGGGAGCTGCTCCTCTTCTTTTGGACTTGGGAACAACAGAACTCCACTGGGGAGGAGTTCCTGAGGAGAGGGGTGTAAGTGGGGGTGAAGGCAGTAAGACCCCGCGCTCCCAGGGGAGGAAGAGTGGGCCTTCAGTTGCATTTAAGAGGCCTCTTGCCCCTCCCCTGCCTCATAAGGAATCTGAAACAGGTAAACCCCAGAGACTGACTCAATTAGAGTCATTTGCATAATATTTTAGGGTGATTTAGCCATGCGAGGCCGCATGTGGCTGATTCAGCTATGCTGGGCTTTGTAATAAGAATTGCCCTGGTTCTAACCAACATGTCCTGTGTCTCTCTGTTCAAGGACCCCAACCCTTGCTGGGGCACTTACTGTTTGTTGAACTTTGGCCAATCACCTTACTGTGTGCCACGGTCATGCTAAGCACAGGAATTTGAAGATGAAGCCAACCTGTGGCCCCTTTGAAAGTCAGGTCTGAGGCTGGTAAGGAGCTATCTTTTTGGTAGAGATCACCCAAAGATAAGCCCATGGGTGTCCCTAGTTTGGAAAAATAACCCCCCAAACTGGACCCATCTTGCTGTACCTGCCTACATGACCTATTTTCTAGCTGCAGACAGCCAGCATTACCTGTTCTCAACATCTGGCATTACCTACCGGCTTTGTCACCTTCCCTCAGGCTTCAAACAGCTATAGGGCCCCACCTCCTATCCATCTAGGGCCCCTCCCTCCCCTTTTTCCTCCTGAAAGGATCTGGAGACACCAGATCCACAAGTCCTGGTGTCTTTAAAAGGATCAGCCCGAGGAATAAGGCTCATTTGAGAGCTGTGACATTTACCTGGCTCTAGTGAAAGTCCAACAGCCACTCCCCTTTTGGCTTCCAACTGGGCACCATGAGGTCCTGCATCCCCCTGGTATTGGCCGTGCTGTGCGGCCTGGCCTGGGCTGGTAAGTCACTCTCTGGCGGGCATGGGATTGCGCATGGGGAGGGATCTTGCCTAAAGAAGCAGAGAGTTGGGCCGGGCACGGTGGTGGCTCAAGCCTGTAATCCCAGCACTTTGGGAGGCCGAGGCGGGTGGATCACGAGGTCAAGATATTGAGACCATCCTGGTCAACATGGTGAAACCCCGTCTCTACTAAAGATACAAAAAATTAGCTGGGCACGGTGGCGCGTGCCTGTAATCCCAGCTACTCGAGATGCTGAGGCAGGAGAATTGCCTGAACCCAGGAGGCGGAGATTGCAGCGAGCCGAGATCACGCCATTGCACTCCAGCCTGGGAAACAAGAGCGAAACTCCGTCTCAAAAAAAAAAAAAGCAGAGAGTTGGGAAACTTGGTAGAGGGCAGGGATGTGGGACAAGGGAGGATGAGCTCTGTCCTAAACCAGCAGAGCACTGTTGGGTTATCCTTGTCTAAGGGTGCAGGCATTGTTCCTGGAATCAAATGAACGATGTGGAGTGAATTGCAGAGTGGATGGACTGATTTCATGGAAGTCCTTTCTTCAAACCTTGGAGGATCAGCCCCAAACATCCCTTAGTCCAACCTGACTTTTGATGTCCCTAAGATTTTGTTGTCTGGGGCCACCATATGGTATAAAGCTAGGTTAGGGCCGGGGCCCATGGGGTCTGAGTGGCCTGGCTGCTCTTGGTCACTCCTTCCACTGCCTGGTGACAGGTGAGGTTGTCCAGGGTATGACCTTACTTTGGGTAGAGCCTTAGGAGGTGGGCATGCTTAGGAGGAAACCAAAAGGACCCTTGACCAGAAGGTGGGCGAGGTCCTATCTGGGGTTGTACAAGGGTCAGAGGAATGGATCTCTGTTGTGGGTAGATTTAATTCTGCAGTGTTAGCAGAATTAAAGAACAGAGAAGGGACCCGGCCCACAGTTATGAGAGTTGGAGTGGATGGGACTGGCAGAGGAACAGGACCACGTTCCTGTCTAGTACCTGTGCAAAAAGCTGGTATTGATGTGTTAATTGGTAGCCAGTGGGCAGGTGGAAAGGAGTGCCAAGGGGGGGGGGCGCTGAGCTGAGGAGTGTAGGGAGAATCCTCTGCCCAGAGGAGAAAGAACCCTTCCACTCACTGGGTCACTCTTGTATGGGACTGTGGAAAGGATTAAATGAGATTATGAGAAGCACCTGGCACAAACTGAGATCTCAGTGAATTGGAACTTTACTTATAAGACTGTAAATATTCTTGGAAGAAACTTCTGCTTGGGATCATTTCCAAATGGGTTGTGGAAAGGACACCCCTAATGGGATTCCTAAATGCAAAACCATTGAAAGAGGAAGTTGTTCCCAGGCCTCCCAACTAGGGATGAGATGGTGCACCTTACCCAGAAATCAGCTCTACCTGGGTCCTGGCTGGTGGAGAGGCAGGGGGAGAGCATGAGGGTGGGCCTGAGAGCTACCAGCTTCAGCTGGGTGGGGAGGACAGTGAAACCTGAGGGCTTAATATGGAGGGGTGGCCAGTGGGCTTGGCATATCCCAGGCTTGGGGAAGGAGAGCAACTCTGGACATTTGGACCCTGGGGGGACATCCCTGAGGCAGAGGTAGAAGTGGCTTCAGAAATGCAGGTGGAGCTCTTGCTACTGGGTTAGAGGGCAGCAATCTGCATAGGCTGTGGAATCAACTGGGAAGTGAGGTCAAGCGTGTGAGGCCTCCTAAGGTGGCAGGGAAGAAGCTCTGCACTTGTTGATACTATCCCAGCATCTCAGAACTGAGATGCAAGAATATGAATCACACGGATCATTGCCAGCCTCAGGTCCTCCTTCATGAGCTAGATGCCTGTGGAGAACCTTAATTGTTTTTTTGGTTGTGAATGGAGGCAGGAAGCTAGTCCAAGGGGTGAGGCTTCTTGGTTGACTAGGTCTCCATGGAAACAGCATCTAGGGCCTTCTGAGAGGCACAAGTGTAGGATGTCCCAGCCATCAGAGGGGCTGAGCACCAGCGTACAGGGACACTCTGTCCACTCAGGCTTGGGACCAAGCTTTATTGATGGCCAGTGTGGATAGGGAGTGACTGTCCTGGCATATTCTTAGAAGGTGCAGAGAAATTGAGCATTCCATGGGGTAATGGAGGGAGAATCTGAGCCTGAGAGAGGAAAGGCCCAAATGAAGAAAGGCAGTCAGAGAGGTGAAGCGGAGGGACAAGAGGCACAGGTTACTAGAGCAGTGATTCAGGTGCCTGCCTTGGGGAGCAAGGCTTACTCAGAGCACTGGTGCCAATGGCACAGTGTAGGGGTGCTGGAGTGAGTTGTTAGGGTGACTAGTTACTCATCAGAGTATCCCCAGAACATCACTTATGAAGTGATGAAGTCAGCCAGGAAACAGCAAGGTGCCCATGAAGAAAAGTTCCTCCCACCCCTGCCCTCCACTGTCAAATCCCAAGGTCACCTTGAAGCAGACCAAGAGCAGAGACATGTGGGAAAGTGCTGGCATGGGGCTCCTGCTGGAGACAAAGTTCTTGGGCAGAGATGAAAAAGCCCACTCAGCTTGGCCGGCAGGGGTGCTCTCCTGCACATCCAGCGGACTGCTCGCTTGCAACCCTTCTCAACTGGTGCCAGCTGCTGGAATGAGGTGAATTACTTTCCTGGACTCTGCTGATTTGGCCCATTAAAAATATTGCCCTGATTTGCCTGAATTCTCTCCGCTTGGATTCTGGGTGTACTGCCAGGCTGACTGAGCAGGCAGCTTGGGCTGAAAATTTCTCCTTAAGATCTTTGCATTCAGCCTCCAAGGGAGCATCATTTAACATTCAAGAGGAGTTCCTGCGGGCTTGAAGGAACAGTGGCCTTGGGCCTGGTCTCTTTTAGGGACTGGAAATCTGCCTTCCTGGCCACCTTGGAGGACCTACAATGTGAAGTTGTCTGAGGACCTGGGTTAACCTTGAGCTGATGCCTCTCTGATGTAAGGAATACGAATCTGTAGTGATCAAGTCAGTCAGGAAGCCAGCAACACAGATGTGCTGACAACCCAGCCCAAGGGGTGACCCTGCTGAACCCCTGGGAGAGTTTCAGCTAAATTCAGTGTGTCAGCAGGGCCACCGCACAGGGAAGACCGCTCCAGCCAGTCGGAACACTTGTCACTTGGAAGATGGGCATGAAATATTGCCACCGTTTATTCACCTAACAAGTACTTCTATGGTACTACTATGTGTCACTTGCTGTCCTAAGTGCTTTACACATATTAACTCATTTAATTCTTATAAATATGCTATGAGATAGACTCCATTATCATCCCACTTTTACGGATAAGAAAACGGAGGCATAGAAGTTTAAATGACTTGCCCAAGATCACATAGCTAGAAAGCAGTAGAACCAGAATTCCAGCCTCAAGTAGTTTGGCGCGAGAGTCTAGGTTCTTTTCTTTTTGAGACGGAGTCTCACTCTGTCGTCCAGGCTAGAGTGCAGTGGCACCGTGTCAGCTCACTGCAACGTCCATCTCCCAGGTTCAAGCAGTTCTCCTGCTTCAGCCTCCTGAGTAGCTAGGATTAAAGATGCCCACCACCATGCTTGGCTAATTTTTATATTTTTAGTAGAGATGGATTTCACCATGTTGGCTAGGCTGGTCTCAGGTGATCCACCCGCCTCAGGAACCCAAAGTGCTGGGATTACAGGCGTGGGTTACCTTACCTGGCCCAGAGTCTAGGCTCATAACCTCTCTGCTATGCCATCCCTCATTAGACACAGTATCAACCTCAATCCCAGAATCCAGTATTAGGGATTGGTAACTAGACCCAACCTCTAATATTTAAGCTCTAACCCACTCCTGGCTTAAATGAAGATACTATTTTGTGTTGAATCGTAACCAGAACCAAGCCCCCAAATAAAACAGGGATTATTTGTCCTTTTCTCATCCTGACACATTCCTCAACCCCAATGTCATCTTAAGTCTATTCCTATTTCTTACCCAAATATCAATACAAAATTGTTAATTTATCAAGCCCAAATCCTAACTGAAGTTCTTAACCTAACTAACCCCAACCCTGGTCCAGATTAGGTATGTTTCCTCTCTGATAGAAATTCTGATGCTGATGGCAACCCTGACTCTGATGTTGAAATTCTTTGTAACCCACAGTATGATCTCTAAACCCAGCGTTCATGAAGTCCAAACCTCAGGAACCTCAAATCGAACAAACACTCCGTTACCACCCTGAAAGTCCAGAGTGGATAGTGGGTTTCCACAGTCCTTCAACTTGTCTTACATGCCTTGTGAGAAAAAGCTTGCTTCTGCAAACCATTTGGCTGGAGTGGGGGATGTGGTCTGTGGTTATATAATAGAATGCTATGCCAGAGCCCAATTCTCACCCACACTCGCCTCATTCCCTACCCTGAGCATAAAGTAATCTGAATGCACTCCAAAGACTGGAAAGAACTGAAAGATAGGAAAGAGGGTACAGAGTGGATGAAGGTGAGAGAAAAGCAAAGGATGGGATAAGAGCCAGGGGGGAGTGAGAGGGCAGGGGCATCCCTGGGACAGCATCTACGTGACAGGTGAAGGGGGCCTGTGGGCTACACGCAGTTCACAGACATCTTTCTTTGGTGTGTTTAAAGCTTTACAGGCTTGGAACATTTCACATAAAAATGCATATTTGTCTTGAAGAAAAACAGGAGGCTCTGGCAACACTGAGCCCACGTCCCAACAGGGCAACAATTGGCTGGAGCTGAGCATCAGCTGCAAACTTCTGATGGAGCATTGCTCTTAAGTTTGTCACAGTCTCCATTTCTTCCTACTGCCTCATACCCTGCTTCTTTACTTGTTTATGTTATGGGCCTGACCCAAATAAGCATTTGGGTTTGTGATCCTGGTCTCTTCGATGAGCCTTGAAATATTCGGTGGGTGTTGGGCGGTGGGGAGGAGGCTTATGTTGTACTTGGGAGGCTGTGGATGTACTTCTCCCTTTCAGGGAGTAATGCCATTCTCTGCCAGGTATACTCCTGCCCTGGTCTGTGAACCCTCCTGTAGGAGGCACCTTAGGGAGGAAAATAGAGTCTCTATAGAGCAGAGTTTCCTACCTTTACTGCCCATAGGAAGAATGGAATCCTGTGCGTCTCGATGTAATGAGAAATTTAACCGGGATGCTGCCTGCCAGTGTGACTGCCGGTGTCCCCGGCATGGGGACTGCTGTGAAGACTATAAACACCTGTGTACTGGCGAGCCTCACTGTGAGACGAAGGCACCTCCAGCCTGCCTGAGGGGCCATTGGCCTGGGTGTCCAGCAGGCCAGAGCAGTGTTCAGGACTCAGAGGGGCTTTAAAGGTCTGGACAGAGAGCACTGAGGGGCAGAGGCAGGGTCAGGCATTTGACCACCACTTGTCTCAGGTTTTTTAGGATGTCCCCAACTTAAAATATAGTAGATGTCATTTACCTAGAATATCTGTCTGAACTATCAGTATTAACAATATCTTGAAAGTTTAAGTACCAAATTCTAAAAGAGGATAAAATGATAAAAATTATATTTAGTATGTCTGACATTACTAATTGTTATTCAACACTTTAAATCACAAAAACATAAAAATGGTAGCAAACTCTCACAACTTGTGTACCGCCAGGAAGACTGCATGGCGTCACAGTGACTGACACAATTCATGCCACTTTTCCTCTAGTGAAGGAACCACATGGCATGACATCTCCATAGTGTCATTTCCAGCTCACCGAAGAAAACAGGACACGTACCACCTTCAAAGGCTGTTGCTCCTCCACTACTGCAACTGCACAGTTTTAAATGAATACTTGAAGACAATCTTGTATGAATAATCTTCTTGTTTAGGTGCTTCCAAATTTAGATTAGATTCCATTAATCTCCTCCAGAAGATTAATGATCTGCTTTGTGACACAAAGCCTTGCTGTCAAGCCATGCACTTTGACTCCCAGTTTCGAGGACAGGTCACTGAGGTCATGTTAGGTAATGGCCAGCAAGCCCACTGCATTATTGTTGCACAGGTTGTGCATTGTACAAGGGAACCTAGTTAAGCAGCAAGCTGGACCCAAATCCAGTCTGTATCCTTCTCATCAGGTTGTATGCCCTGGTGCAGAGTTGTGTCTGCTGAGAGAAAGGAGTGCCTTTTCTGAATTTGCCCAAAGGTGGTAGCCAGCCAAGTGCCCACAGAGCTGCTTCCACTCATATGGAACGTTATTTCAATTTACACAAAAACACCATATGTATTAGTCCGTTTTCATACTGCTATGAAGAAATACCCCAGACTGGGTAATTTATAAAGAAAAAGGTCTAATAGACTTACAGTTCCATATGGCTGGGGAGGCCTCACAAGGATGGTGGAAGGCAAAGGAGGAGCAAAGACACATCTTACATGATGGCAAAGTGCAGGGGAACTTCCCTTTATAAAACTGTCAGATATCTGCCGGGCGCCAGTGACTCACTTCTGTAATCCCAGCACTTTGGGAGGCTGAGGTGGATTGATCATGAGGTTGGGAGATTGAGACTATTCTGGCCAACATGTCAAAAACCCCATCTCTACTACAAACACACACAAAAATTAGCTAGGCATGGTGGTGCCTGCCTGTAATCCCAGTTATGCAGGAGGCTAAGGCAGGAGAATCACTTGAACCAGGGAGTTGGAGGTTGCAGTGAGCCAAGATCGCGCCATTGCACTCCAGCCTGAAAACAGAGCAAGACTGTCTAAAAAAAAAAAGGAAAAAGAAAAAAAAAACAAACCTATCAGATATCGTGAGACTTATTCACTATCACAAGAACAGCTAGGGAAAAACCTGCCCCATGATTCAATTACCTCCCACTGGGTCCCTCCCATGACAGGCAGAGATTATAGAAGCTACCATTCAAGATGAGACTCAGAGGGGGACACAGCCAACCCATATCACTGTATATATTAGCATATATATTATATATTAGCACCATATGTGTATATAGGTGTGCCTATGCACACACACACACACACACACTCACACTTCCTTGCCCAGGCAGGGAGACCCAGGCCCAGAGCTCAGCCTGAATCAGAGCCTATGCCTTTTCCACTGCCCTTGTGTCCCCACTTTTTCTTACCATTCAGCAAACACAGGAAGGCCTGTTCACCTTGGCCCATCAGGTTGGCATTCAAGATAAAGGCAATACCCAGCATAACAGCCGTTTCATCTCCAAGTTTCCGATTTGCAACTCAGAACCCCTTTCCAATAGAAAAATATATTGGAAATGATGGTTAGGACTCCAGCTCAGCACACAAAATTCTGTTTAGCATAAAATTTGGCTGAATTCAGAAGCCTAAGGATTGCCAGCACTTAAACAGCCTGATCAGAGTACATGATCAGAAGATGTTTGTTGACTGAAGAATAACCTGACTGGTTATTCTTCTGGTTCTAATGGTAATAACATGATACTTTCCAGCAAACTCACTAGTAGATTCTGAATCCCTTTGTAACGGTATTGTTTGTTGGGGGTGTGTGGGGTGGTGGGAATTATGTGATGAGAGAGAAACTCAGAGTCCCCAGGAACATTTCTCCCCTGGCCCCCTACCCACCTTAAATCCACCCTTCTCTGCCCAGAGAGGAGCTAAAGTCATTCGGCTTGCAGGTGAAGGGAATGGGGCGGCAATAGGAATGTGCTCTTCTGAACATGCCCTTTCCCTAGACACAGTCTTTGTGGCCATTTCCAGGTGGGGCAAAGAAAGAGGTGAAGTCGGAATCTCAGGAAACAGCTCTTTTTCCTTGAGGCCCTGAGAATTTACCCTAGACTCTGATTAGAAGTTATTCTAGGTACAGGAACTTCCTAAATGAGAGCCTTATCATTAGGAAAGCATGAAGACTCTATCCACCTGTCAACTTTGGTAAAAAAAGAAAAAGTCATCACCAAAATCAGAGTTTTCAATCCAGATGTGTCACCTGGGGACATTATTTTCCTTTTTTATAAATTTTCTATAATGTGTTTTCCATTGGAAACATCTTCCATTTTCTGTTTTCATCCTTGTTATTTGGTGACTGTCCATTGGATTCCAGCCCCTGTTCAGGATTTGCTTCTAGTGCCCTTGCTTGTCCCTGAGGCTGGGAAAGCTGAGAATCAGAAACCAAGCAGGAGGGGAAGTCTCAGGTGGTTGGTGACTTTATTTTTCTATCTACCTGCAGAGGACCACAAAGAGTCAGAGCCGTTCCCACAGCCGGAGGAAGAGACAGAAGAGGCCCTCACCAGCAGTAAGCCTGCCTCCCCAAAGGGCCCTCAACATAAAGCAGGAGGGACGTGAGGGTGACAAGGAAAGGCGGCCATGGCTGTGGCTCCAGGCCCAGGCCTCAGCCAGATGAGAGGGGCTTGCTGGACTCTGGGAGCCTGGGCAGGAAGAAGTCTGGGTGGCTCAGCCAGCCTGGGGGGTGATGGGAGAAGAGTAGCTAGAAAGAGAGCCTGAGGCCTGGAGAGGGAAGTGGAAGAGATTTTATTTTTAGATTGGGAAGATTAGAAAAACAGCGTGCCAGAAAGTAAAGTTCGGCATCGGAAAGGACTTCCTGACTGTGAAGGGTGTGCACGAATTAGGCTTGTTTGTTTTCTTTCCCTGGAGATCCTTACTGGGCAGAGTCAGGAGAGCCAGGAGGGAGGGATGGCCTGTGGGGTGTTCACAGCAACCTCTAGAGGTTGGTCCGGGACACACCGCCCTCTCTTCTCAGACCTGTACTTGGCACCCACCTCCTGCCAGGGCCGCTGCTACGAAGCCTTCGACAAGCACCACCAATGTCACTGCAATGCCCGCTGCCAAGAGTTTGGAAACTGCTGCAAGGATTTTGAGAGCCTGTGCAGTGACCGCGGTTAGTCTTCTGCTCCCTTAGCTAAGCTACAGAGACAGAAGGGCTCTAGAGCAGAGGTTCTCAATGTGTGGTCCCCAGACCAGCATCATTAGCAATGTCTGAGAACTCGTTAGATAACGCAACAAAGGCCTGGGCTTTGCTCCAGGCCTGCTGAATCAGAAACTCTCAGGATGGGACTCACTGCCCTGTTTACCACCGTCTCCAGGTGATTCTGATGCATGCCCAAGCATGAGACCTCTCCTGGGGGGAAGGGGTGGAAGGACATTTTATGGGCAATGCCATGTGCTGATTTTACAGGTCCTTCAGGCTCTGTGCCCCTGTCCTTCAACCACTAGGGTGTCCAATTGTGGCTCCCCTCCCTCCATGCTGACTTCCAGAAGGTCCAGGAGGGGATGAACACAGACAATTTCCTGCCCACCTCCCACTTTCTCTGTCTCTGAGACCACCCCCTCCCAATTCCTCCCAGAGGGCTTCTCCTACAGCAGTGATGCCATAAGCAAAGAGGAGATTCAGAGCATCTCTGAGAAGATCTACAGGGCAGACACCAACAAAGCCCAGAAGGAAGATATCGTTCTCAACAGACAAAACCGCATCTCCCCGTCGGAGACCAGAGACCAAGTGGATCACTGCCCAAAGCCGTGAGTTCCTGCAATTCCTCTTCCTGCCCTGAAAATCTCGCCCCCATCCTTGCTTCTTTTGATGCCTCAGCTCTTTTATCCTCAAATCAGGCAGTATCAAAGAGAGAGAAGAAAAAAACGTGTCTCCAGAGACAAAGCCATCTTGAGGGACTGTGGATATCCAGTTGGGAGGGTTTCTGTGATTGGCCAGGCTGAGGATAGAACAGCTTTTCCAAAATATGAGGTAGAAGAAAAGTCACCTGATGTGTGGTCTTCAAGAGTACCTGAAGTCCCCCCTCAGCTCCTGAACCCAGCCCTCACCTGCCTGCTCCTGGTCTGTCTAGAAGTCTCTGGAGGGGTCTCTGCCCCGAGTTTGGGGCTCTCAGTGGTTCCCCTCTGCCTCTCCCAGACTCTTCACTTACGTCAATGAGAAGCTGTTCTCCAAGCCCACCTATGCAGCCTTCATCAACCTCCTCAACAACTACCAGCGGGTGACAGGCCATGGGGAGCACTTCAATGCCCAGCAGCTGGCTGAGCAGGATGCCTTCCTCAGAGAGATCATGAAGACGGCAGTCATGAAGGAGCTCTACAGCTTCCTCCAGCACCAAAGTGAGTGAGCATCGCCAACAACCCAGGACGAATGAGTCTGTCTAAGGGAAGCCAGGTGGGTGGGAGAGGGGAAGGTTAGGAGGGCAGGTGAGGAGGTGGTGGGGACTCTGTGGAAGTTGGTATACATATGAGAGGAATCAGGGATGAGGCCAGGTGGGAGCCAAGAAAGGTTAGGAACCCAACCAGGAGCTGATACACCCTCTGGCTGGCTGGCCTGGAAATCAGCCCACCTTTGACTTCATGTTAGCTGTCTCATGCATGCCCCACCCTCTGCTACAGTCTCAGGGTTCTCTGCTGGGCGTGAGCCTCTCCTCAGATCCCACCCCCACCCAGGACACATCTTAGCCACCCAAAGTCAGCACCACATTTCAGATAGGTAGAGTCGCTGATTCTGCTTACTCCCTTCTCCTGCACTGAAGTCCAGGAATTGGGTTGGTTGAGTCCACCTTTTGGCTGGGGAAATAGCATCAGAAAATCAACAAATGTTCAGAGAGGGAAGTCCTACCAGGAGGAGTTCTGGTTGGAAAGCCTCCAGATAGAGATAGCTTTGAGTCAGACCAAAAAAGATTTTGGCCGCAGGACTTCTTGGCATGGGGTTGTGTTTGTTAGTATCCTGCAGATTTCTTTCCCAAACTCCAGGTAGCTGGACTTCGTCTCAGAGGTGGCTCTGCCTGGGTCTTCCCTCTTTGCCCCTGAGTGGCTTGGCTCTGAGGGGCTGCCACCCTTAAGAGTTGGTGACACAGGAGTGACTCCATGAAGAAGTTGCAATCCTGTGCTGCCCCCTGGTGTTCTCTTTGTAGTAAATATACAAGAGAATCTTGGAGGTCTAGACTGAGCAAGGGCTTTTCAAATGAGAGAAATGGAGGTCAGACAGGCTAGACTTACCTGAGGCCACAAAGGAGTTGGAAGCAGAGCTGGGGCTGGAACTCAGGGTTCTGACACCAAGGCCAGGCTGTCCCATTACTCACTCTCTTCTCACCTCTCTTGTCCAAATCCCACTTATCCTTTAAGTTCTATAATAGCTCATATCCCATCACATTTGTGAAGGCTGCACCTGCCCCAGCTAACTCTGGCTTTCGGCACCTCTGCAGAATTTGAAGTGTGGTCCACAACAGCCTTGGGCCAGAGAAACTTGGTTTAAATCTTGGCTCTGCCACTTACTTGCTAGTGACTCGACCCTGGGGAATTTATTTGACCTTTCTGGGGCTTCCCTTTGAAATGGGGTTTTTGAGGATGACTGCTTATAAAGCACCTAGTAGAAAGCCTGGCACTCAGTCAGTACTCAGTGTGTGAAACCATTCTCTGTTATTTCATGTATATTTAGTCTTTTAAGTCACTGAAAGGAAGGAATATGTCTGGCATCTCTTTTGTATTCACCATACATAATTCTAGGCAGTAAACGGGCAATACTGGATGGTTCCCTCATTGAAATCTCCAGCCCTAAACTTTCTCAAGGGCTTATTCAACATCTCCACTTGGCTCTCTAACCGATATTCACACAGAACTTAAAGTAGAAAGAATCGTTCTCCATACCTGCGCCTCCCTGGGTCTTCCCTGTCTCATAAATGACAGCATAACCCATCCAGTTGCTCAGATCAAAAGCCTAGGAGTTGGATTTAATTGTTCTCTTTACCTCACAGTTCCCTCCCCCCATCTCCTCCGTCAGCAATGTAATGGTGCTCCCTCCTCCTCTGGAGTTACCACCAGCATCTAAGCCCCATCAACTTCCTACGCGGCCAAAGCATGAGCCTCAGAACTGGTCTCTCTGCTTCCACTCACACCAGCCCATTGCCTTTTTTTACATCCACAGCCAGGGTGATTGTCTATCTACCTACAGAGCCACTGAAGGATTGTAAATCTGAGTTGTTGAAGAGATTGGTCTCTGGAGTAAGACTTAGTGGACTCAAGCACTGTCTCTACCTTTCATTAACTGTGTGATCTTGTATGAGTTTGATACTCTTTGTCACAGTTTCTTCATTTTTAAGTTGGGGATAATTAGTACCAACTTTATGTGAAGATTCAATATGAGGATTCACTGTTATATTGAAAGCATTTAAAATGGCACTAGGTACACAGAAAGCAATTGGTAAATCTAAAATATTTTTTGTTTTATTTCTATTTGCCTGAGATCTGACCTTCTTGCCATGGCTTAAGGATCTGACTCCTGGCTGCTTCTGAAACCTCCTCTCCTATCACTTTGCCATCACTCTCCCTTCCTGCCTCATTGACTTTCTTCCAGTTCTTGAACAGCAAACTCAAGTCTGCCTGGAGCCTTTGCTCTTGCAGGTCCCTCTACGTAGAAGAATCTTCTCCCTAGATCTTTGTGTAGCTGGTTCCTTATCCTTCAGCTCTTTGATCAGTGCTACCTTCTCACAGAGGCCTTTCTGATGTCCCTTTCTAGAAGAAACCCCCCACCCCTACACCAGCCCTCCAGTCATTGCGGGCTACTCTGCTTCATAGCACTGATCTGAAATTGTATTTCTTACTGTTTACTTGTTTATGTGTTGACTCCTCCACTAGAATGTAATATAGATAGAGACTGCATCTGTGCTATTCCCAGCTGAATCCTTAGTCTTTAGATCTGGACCTGGCATAAAATAGGCATCTCATAGATACGTGTTGAATAAACAACTGAACACATTTGTTGATTGAACCTACATGTTTCTTGGCATGTGGGAGCAGGTAGCCCTATAGGTCTCTGTTTAGCGCTCCCAGGACCTAGCACTGCCTCCCCTCTCCAAAGCCCTGTGTTCCTCTCTGCAGACCGCTATGGCTCAGAACAAGAATTCGTTGATGACTTGAAGAACATGTGGTTTGGGCTCTATTCAAGAGGCAAAGAGGAGGGGGACTCCAGTGGCTTTGAACATGTCTTCTCAGGTGGGAGCACTTTTCTTGAAAATAAAGAGTTGGAGGGATGAAGAGGAATGGCTTTGCTCAGGAGCAGGGTAGCCCTGGGTGTGGATTAATCAGCAGTCGAGCCAGCTAGCAGGGAGAGACCCGTGCACTCCCCTGCCCAAATGGCTGGGGGGTAGGGGGTGGGTCTGAGGAGCCATTCTGATAAATTTCTGGAGTACCCAATTGAGAAAGACCAGATGCTGAGATTCCCAAGAGGTTACATCTAGGACAAGACAAGTGTCTGGGAGCAAGGTTGCCTACCTCTGAACAGTCCTTTGCTTCCAGGGCCTGGCCAGCTGCTTCCCAAGAGGGCCATGGTCTGTTCTCTCCTGTTCTGCCCATAAAACTCCCACCAAGCTTGGCTTGCTGCTGGAGTAATGGCTGAGAGAGGTCATCAAGATCACCAGAAGGAAGGATTCTTCCAAGGGCTTCAGCCAAAAGGGGGGCCTTCCTGATGTGAGTGATAGGAGTGTGAGAGACTATGGGGGCTCAGAGCGAGGGGCCGAGCAGCTAGAAGTCAGAGACTGAGAAGCAGAAAGCCTTGGCATGGGGTGGAGAAAGGGGATTGGAGGGCAGGGTGGGGGAGGAGCCCCGATTATCTACCTTGGACTCTTTATTATAGGTGAAGTCAAAAAAGGCAAGGTTACTGGCTTCCATAACTGGATCCGCTTCTATCTGCAGGAGAAGGAGGGCCTGGTTGACTATTACAGTTACATCCTCGATGGGCCTGTGAGTACACGGGCTAGAAAAGCCTTGATGGCACCCAGATGTCCTGCTCTCACTCTGCATTCCAAAGAGTCAGACCTGTATCTCAGCCTGACTCTCATGGGGCAGCTCCAGGGGATTGGGACTATGACGTCCTCACCTACTGGACAACCAGTTTAGCCAGGACACTGGAATTCCCTTCCTAACAGTGAAGGCTCTAGAACTGCAGGGGACAGGAGGCAGAAGGCACCATATCTGGGTGGCAGGCTGGGGCTGGGGAGGATTCTCAAAGGGAAGAACCAAAGATATGCAATTACCCACTGCCTCAGTTTCCTTAGAATGTGGCTGAAAGTTTCAGCCTGGCTAGTCTGAGCTGAACTTCATACACTTTATAAGACAGAAACCTTTGCTGCCCAGTACCAGGAAATAATTTGGGGGCAGTAAACGATCCTTTTCTTCCATGTTTGACGGTCACAGGAAACAGTGACATCCTTGATACACAGAGATGGATCCTATGGATAGTGACCTTGGCCTTCTTGGTAGATGTACACTGGTAGCTCCAGGCAGAGGGTCCGGGTGGGCTCAGACACCTTAGCAAGGCAGACTGTCTCCTCTATTTAAAGAATCCAGTGTCTCTGGAAGGTTCACACAGGCCCCTAATGGACCCTCAACAAATACTGTCTGACTGTTGCCATTGGGCACCTGTCCTACCCCACTGTGTGGCACTCACCAGATCCCCTTTTCTGCCCTTCCCTCTGCAGTGGGATTCTTACCCTGACGTGCTGGCAATGCAGTTCAATTGGGACGGCTACTATAAAGAAGTGGGCTCCGCTTTCATCGGCAGCAGCCCTGAGTTTGAGTTTGCACTCTACTCCTTATGCTTCATCGCCAGGCCAGGCAAAGTGTAAGGATGGGGCCAGCCAGGCCCAAGGAGCAGTCTGGGGCCTCAGGCTGTTGTCAGATAGCCCAGTGTCGGGAGACCTGGACTCTGCCACAAAGAGGCTGGGAGGGCTTGGACAAATCTGTGCTTTGGGCCTCACTTCTCTTGCTTGAACAATGAAGTTTTTGGATTAGTTCAGTGGCTGCCAAACTTCATCTTAGCAGCAAAACCATCTCCCCTCATCCCCCAAACTGAAATCCTCTGTAGGACCTTAACATATGAAACAGAAGTGGAGTGGTCTTGGGGCTCTCAGCCTCTTTGTCCCCTGAGGCTACCTAGGGGAACCTAGAGCCCAGAAAGTACCATTAGGAACCACTCGGCCTCATCGTCTCTAACGTTTGAACACACTGAGTTCTCCCACTTCTGAAACCCTAAGCAAACGTTTAACTTCTGAGGATTTCACCTCTAGAATCTGAGATTGTGAAATACTGCTCTAGGAAAGATGAGGAACAGCATTCTTTAAGACAAGAAATAAGGCAAAGATTTTGAAATGGCTCCCTACACATGGGGACCTGGAGGCAGCTGCTGGAGAAAGCAGTGCCAGCTGTCTTTAAGCCTGTTTAAAAGCAGGATGGAGACCTTCTGCTTAGGTTGGGTTTGATCCTTCCGGCCCAGGGAGAGGCATGGTAAAGTGGTAAGCCCCCCTGATTTCAGGATCTTTCCTCACAGGTGCCAGCTAAGCCTGGGAGGATATCCCTTGGCCATCCGGACCTACACCTGGGACAATTCCACCTACGGGAATGGCAAGAAGTACATCGCCACAGCCTATATAGTGTCTTCCACCTAATAGAACTTTGAGCCAGAAAGGGGCATGAGGGCTCTTGCAAGACTAAAGTGCTATCTTCTTTGGACTAGAGAGAAGAGGAAGAAGACTGGGAGGGACCCCCACATCTCAAAGCAATGAGAAGCATCCCTAAATCCCAAAGTGCCGCGTGGGAAAGAGAGAAAATGTACAAATTAGAAAAATGTGAAGAAACAGTCGAATCTTTGTCCTCCAGAATTTTGGCAATATAGACTAAGAAACAGAGTCCAGGCAGAGAAGGTAGGAGCCCTCCATAGCTCTTTGCCCTGATGTGTGGGGAAACTAGGAACAAGTCCTTCGACCTCACCAGGCCTCATGCTTCCCTTCAATGTAACGGGAAGGGGTCTGCCCCCTTTCCTCTTTTTGCGGTTGGTGACAGGGCAAATCCTGATGATATTTTTACTGTGAAGGTGTTTTCAATTGTTCTTAGGAAGAACAGCTGACAGAAAATCAAGCTATAATGGCTGTTATTATACACAGCTCCATAAATGACAACTCAGCCCTGTGTTGGGGTCCTCAAAGAAGTAAGGCCACAGTAATCAAGCAAGGGCCTTTGTTTTTTTCCAGAGTTAGATCCTCTCTGAACAGAGCCTGGGAGAATTCCAGTGTTGGATGGAGAAGGGTAATGTGTTGGTACAGTGAGTGGCTGCGGGTGGTGTGGTCTTCTCTAGGCCTGAGTGTATCTATGTCCAGCTCAGTATCTGCATCAACAAGTTTTCCACTTGTGTATGTTTAGTGCAACCACAGACTTGTATTTTGATCCCAAATAGTTTCTTTTTTTTTTTTTTGAAAGAGTTTTCCTCATAGGAGAAAGATTCAGCATCAGAAGAAGTAACCGTAGGTAGGTGTCATTGACATAATTATTTTAGGCCAGGTGTGGTAGTTCATGCCTGTAATCCCAGCACTTTGTGAGGCTGAGGTGGGTGAATCACGTGGTCAGGAGTTTGAGACCAAGCCTGGCTAATATGGTGAAACCCCGTCTCTACTAAAAATACAAAAATTAGCTGAGCATGGTGGCGCGTGCCTGTAATGCCAGCTACTCAGGGGGCTGAGGCAGCAGAATCACTTAAACCTGGGAGGCAGAGGTTGCAGTGAGCGGACATCGTGCCACTGCACTCCAGCCTGGGTGACAGAGTGAGACTCCATCTCAAAAAAAAGTAATAATAATAATAATTTTAAGGTTTATCCAGCAGCTACGATTTGAATAACTCTAGGAGACCAGAGAGACTGGGGCTCTCTATTTTAACCTCAATTATGCATTTCTTCCCCAACCTCATTGAGAACCAAATGTTGTACCACAGAGCTTGGTGTGAACTATGGTTTAGAAGGGTCAAATTTCCAATTAAAGTCATTGAAGAAAACTTGAAATGAGTGTCTTCTTTGTAAATGGCCTCCCTCCACTGTCTGTCTCCTTGCCTTTTCCCTGGAGCAGGAGCTAGGAGTGATACTTCTGCTCTAGCTTCTTCTCAGAATGGCTTGGAGAATGCAGTGTCTGGGTGAAGTCCCTGTTGACTCAGTAAGTCTCTAGCCAAGAAGGGAAGAGAATTCTGTAATAGGAAGAGTGGAAAGAACACTGCATATAGATAATGAGGAGGGGGGTAAATGAAGACTGGTGGTCCCCATCCTCAATAACCAGTCCCCTTGACCACATACACAGGAGTATAAGGACATTTCTGGATGTAGCTTCTGTGGTTGCAGAGGCTGACCACACCGGGGGAAGAGGAGATGCTAAAGAGATACAGAAAAAGACTTCTTGTTTGGGCTGGGCGCAGTGCTCAAGCCTATAATCCCAGCACTTTGGGAGGCCAAGGCAGGTGGATCATGAGGTCAAGAGATCCAGACCATCCTGGTCAACATGGTGAAACCCTGTCTCTACTAAAAATACAAAAAATTAGCTGGGCATGGTGGCGCATGCCTGTAATCCCAGCTACTCAGGAGGCTGAGGCAGGAGAATTGCCTGAACCCAGGAGGCAGAGGTTACGGTGAGCCGAGATCGCGCCATTGCACTCCAGCCTGGGTAACAAGAGCGAAACTCCGTCTCAAAAAAAAATGACTTCTTATCTGTAAACAGATAACTCAAGCCACAATGCTAGAAAACGGTCAGGTATGAAGGGATACATCAGGCAAGTTACAGACTCTAGAGAGATGGAAAAGGGCCTTGTCTTATCCTTTCCCAAGGATGTTCATGGTCAAGAGGCAAGACAGGGAGTCAGTAGAGCACAGGGCTAACAGGTACAGGCTCTGAAGTTATGTTGCCCAGGTAACTAGCCAGGCTTTGTTGCTTACTGGCCATATGAGCAAATTTCTTAATTATTCAGATCATTTCCTCACCAGTCAGATGGGATGATATTACCAGTGTTGTGAGATAAGGAATGTAAAATAACATGCTGGTCTTTCTTATGGTAATTCTTGTCTCATTTATCATACAGATTTAATTTTATACCAGGAGAGGCAATTTACTATCCCTGCTATCAGCCGTAACCTTCATCTATTGGTCCCCAGTACTTGTGCTCTTCATAGGTGTCTTCAGAGGTCTTCCAGGTAGTCCAGTAGAAGGCAGAAAGACAGAAACGCAGGAGAGTACCGTATTCCAGGGCCCGGGCCTTAGCTTTGCAGGAGAGCAGGGTAAGAACTAACATTTGTTAAGCTGTGACCATGTCCCAAGCTGTGCTAAGTAGTCCTTTTACATTCACTTTCTCACTCTGGTGGGTATTTTGATCTTCACCACTTTTATTTTACCTAGACAACTGAGGCTCAGATTAAGCTACATTCTTAGTAGCAGAATCAGGATCGCAAATTTCAACCCTTTTCCTCATGTCGTAGTGAGCTTGGATTTCTAGTAGTATCTACTCATTTATTAATTCATTATTTTTTAAAGAATATTTGTTAAGACCCTTGACAGAGGTTGTGCTGCTGGTTACCCCTCTGTATCTGCTCTCCTCTTCTTCCACATTCATTGAACTCTTAGTTTTTAGTTACACAAATGACTGTCAAGAGTATAGACTCTTGTCCTCCCTTGCAACTGGAAGTCGACATGTGTCTAACTCTTCACCAATGGCATGCAAAAGGAAGTATTCTTAATGGGCAGGGGGTACTGTTATTCCCACTCTTGCCCCTTTCTGCTGACTGGATTTCAGACAAGATCATGGGAGCTTGAGCAGCCAGCTTGAACTATGAATGAAAGCCATGTGCTGAAGATGACAGAGCAGCAAAGAAGGAGCCCAGGTCTCCTACTGGAGCTATCACACTAGTCCTGGATTGCTTATATTCAGTCTTATATAAAAGAGAAATAATCTTTTTTTCATGTTTAAGCCACTCTTATTTTGGGCTTTCTGTCACATGCAACCAAACTTAACACAGTTTCTCCATAACTGGAAGTCCCAAGGGTCATAACTTTTCTTCCCAAAGTTACTTAGCTAATACTTCCTTTCTTAAGATTTACATTAACTGTCAGATTCTTTAACTGTTTTAAAGATCACAATAATTGTTTTGGATATTAAAATTAATGGCATTCACAATCATTAATTGCATTATTTTAATTGCAATAACACTCCTGTTTACTCCCACTGACCATTACAATTTCAACATATAAAACACATAAAAAGGTTTGTTTTTTTGAAAATAACTATTCAGATATTAATAATAAGTTCAATTAAGATGATTGGAGTAAATAAATGAATAAAAGAGACATAAAGGCATGATTTAGACATTTTGTTGAAATCCATTTGAAGATAACTGCCAACAGAAGTGGGGAGGTCTGCATGGAATCTAGAAAATAACTTAAGTGGCCTAGGTTTGAGCTCACAGGAGAGAAGGCTACCATTGCAGGCGTATGTTTTTGTGGGACAGCAGGAACCTCAGAATTAGGTGATCATGACCATCAAAACCATTTGATTAACTTTTCTTAGTTTGACTCTATATTCACTAAGATCTCCAAATCACTACTTCTGATTATTATGTGGCTTGAGAGGGAAAAAGAGAGAGAGAGATTGGGTTCACTGAAGGGTCTATGAGGTTTTACTAGAGCAGCCAGCTAGCCCCCTTATCTCTCATCTCAATCAACTCTGCCAGAATCAATAAAACAAATGAAGTTGCTTTTGTTAAAAACATCAATAAATCAATATGTTTTTAAATCATTAATTTTTAAAAAACAAAAATATTCTTAAAAGTTAATAATCTATCTCCCTAGCACAACCAAAAAATCATTTCATTAGTAAATATTTTGGTGTACATGTAATAATTTGACTACTATGATTTTAAAATACAAAGATACCAATAATTAAACAATGGGAACGATATGTTAATGATATGATCCCAGCCTAGTTCTTCATTGATTAGCACCTGGTTAGTGGCTTCAAGTTTCAAATGCATGGCTATATCCTATGCTTTTAAAAATTCTGATAGGCTTCACTCAAGACTAGTTACATCAGAATCTCTGGGATGGACACAGAAATCAGTATGCATATATACATGCATACACACACGTATATGTATATACACTCTAAATGATTCCAAAGTTCAGTCAAGCCTGAGAACCACTGATCTGCATTTTGGGGATAATATTGAATGTAAAGTTTCACTTGTTTGGGCTTGCTTTTGTGGACTTCTAGAATTGTTTTTGTTTTGCTTTCGTTTTAGAGTTGTCATTGCAATGAATGAAGACTCTCTCACACGGGAAGCAGAAGGAAAAGTGTTAAAAGTTTCATTTTTCTTCTCTCTGTAAGGCAGAGCATACCTAAAGACAGACTGTAACACTGCCACACGTCAAAGAGAGACTCAGAGATAGATTCACTTAGAAAAGGAGTTTACTTGCAAAAAGTGCAAGGGAGTTACACTGAAGGACCAGTTTGCCAAATACCAGTACTTAAGGGGGAAAAAAAATCCCCTAAAATTACCAGGATTACCAGTTGACAGCTGATTGTTCATGGTGGAAAAACAGTAAGTTTCTCACATGGTTATCACATTCACAAAGGTCAAACAAATCGTTAGACATTAACAAGGTAAATATTCGGGATTAAACTGTTTAAGGGGAGTCCAAGGATATATTAAGGGTTTTATTGTTTTGGAGATCATAAAATCAGGATGACCCTGCAGTTTTTGGGTTATCTCCTATTAAGTTTAGTCATAATGGAGGGAGGCGGAAGCCTCAGATACTGCCTTTACGTACCTTCAAGCCACCAAGCTGGTTCCATTCTGAGAAGGAAGTCACGAATTTGACTTCCTGCGCGCGCACAGCCCCAGGCTCCAGGGGGCGGGGCGAGGGCGCGGGGGCTTGTGGGCAAGCGCGGGAGGCGGGGCTCGGCGTGAGTGTCTGCGGGGCTGACTGGGCGTCAGTGCTGAGGGTGACGATCTGGTCAGGTGAGCTGGCATTGCGGTTCTCGCCGGCAGGTGCAGCGGAGGAGATCCTTGGGGTGGCCGGTGGGAGGACGGGTAGCGGTTATGGGTACCGGTGAGGCGGAGTGGGCTAGGGCAGGCGGCGGAGGCGCGCGTTGGGGCGGCGCGTCGGTGTCCAGGGTAGCGGCGTCCCGGGGCGCGCGTTCCCGGGAGGGGCTCGCCCCAGCTTCCCGGGCCTACGCGCTCTGCTTTGCGGGCGGACCCTCCACCCTGCTACCCGGGGTGTTGGGCGATTTGCGGTGCTTCAGATGGCAGAGCCGCACCCCCGCAAAGTCCGCGGTGGGGCCCGCCCCCTCGCGGCGTGGGCGTGCGGTGTTCTTCGGGACAGCGGGTGTGAAAGTGGTATCCCAAGCGCTGGAAGGTTCTGGTTGCTGGCTCGCACCCTTGCCCCATCGCAGGGTCCCTGGGAGTTTTTGGGCCTGCTCGAGCAGCAGCGGTGATGGGTGACGTGGAGAAGCACCTAACCCCTGGCAGCATCTCACTGACTCGTTGCGCTTTTATTCGTATATTTGAGTCCCCAGCAAAGCGTTGTGTAGTTTTGCTTTTGAATGAGATGTACATAGATGATCAAACACGGACACTGCCTGAAAGAAGCTTAAACCTAATTTAGTTGTTGAGGCTACGGGTCAGGTGACCTATCTGCATCTGCAGCTGTCACTTCTTAGTGAGGTAATTTTCACTGTCCTAAACAAGTGCTTTTTCTAATTCCGTCTTTCCTTCTCCCACCTTACTTCCCTCCCCCTGCCCTCAAGCTTTGAATCTTCTCCCACCTTTTTGGAGATTTTGGCCCATCACTCATCCTTTTTCCCGTATCTTTCACTTTCTTCCTCTTTCCACAGACTATGCTCAAGAACAAGTCTTACGTTATCAAAGGCAAATTTAATCTTCATAATCTCATTTACTTAACTCATTTCATCCCCCTCCTCCTTTTTTTTTTTTTTTTTTTTTTTTGTCCCAGACTGGAGTGCAGTGGTACGATCATCGCCCACTGTAGCCTCTATCTGCGGATCCTCCCCTCAGCCTCTGGAGTAGCTGGGACTACAGGCACCTGCCACCACGCCTGGCTAATTTTTGTAGTTTTAGTTAGACACCGGATCTTGGAGTGTTGGCCAGGCTGGTCTTGAACTCCTGAGCCCAAGCTCTTCCCCCTGCCTGCCAACCCCTGCCTCCCCAAATGCTGGGATTACGAGCATGAGCCACTGCCCTTGGCCTCCCACCCTTAAAAAAAAATCCCACTGAAACTCTGAATCGAGGCCAGGCACGGTGGCTCACGCCTGTAATCCCAGCACTTTGGGAGGCCGAGGTGGGCGAACCACTTGAGGTCAGGAGTTCGAGATCAGCCTAGCCAACATGGTGAAACCCCCTCTTTACTAAAAAAAAAAAAAATTAGCCAGGTGTGGTGGCCCGAACTTGTAACCCCAGCCACTTGGCTGAGTGAGACTGTCTTAAAAAAAAGAAAAAAAAGAAAAGAAGAAAACTCTGAATAGTCTTCATATAATACACTTTCTTTATCTCTGTGTATCCTCCATGGCATTTGGCACTGCTAACCACTTTCACTTTCTTGAACTCATTTTTTTTGTCATCTGTAACATTACACTCTAGGTTTTCCTCCCAGCTGTCTAGGGCTACTGCCTACTTTTTCCTTCCTTGGCATCTCTTCCTCGGTTTAGTGTACTCCAGGTTTACCCCATCCCCCAGTTGTCACAATGGTGAAACATGACCACATCCTTGATTCTAGCTTCTACCTTTATGCTGGTGACACCTGAATTTATATATAGTTCTATATAGCTACCTACTGAATTATCTCCTCGCCCCATTAGCACTCAAATTCAGCATATCCCAAACAAATAATTTGACTTTCTATTTGTCCTCCAACTTTGACACCTCTTTTCCTTTTGACATTGTATTTCTTGACTCAAAATGCAGTCAGTAATCTTACCAGGCTCCCAAGCCAGAAATCTAGGCCACTGTTTGAATTTTTCTCTGTTCTCCAGCACCTCAGTCTAGTCAGTCATCAAGTTCTTTTTATTTTACTACCTTGATATTTTCACATAACTTTCCGAATATACGTTAGACCTCCTGGCCTGCCATTTCAAGGCTGTCCCATGTCCATCTCTTCAATCTTCTCTTCCTTCATTCTCCCTCATAGTCCCTCACTCTGCCCACCGACTCCTTTCTGTTAGTCACTTGGCAGGCCCCTTTGAAACCCCACTAAAGTTCCAACACCTCTGGGGACACTTTCCTTGATTCTACTACCCTGCCATCTGATTGTTGCCTCTCCTTTGTGGTCAGTTCCATAGCATCTGCATATACCTCTCACAGGGTTCTCAGCCAGGGGTTATTTTACCTCTCAGGGAACATTTGGCAGTGTCTGGGAATTTGGCTCAAAATGTCAGTAGTCCCAAGGTTTAGAAACCCTGCCCAACATATTTATTTTGTTCCTAATACTTTATATATTTTTTTCTTCTCCACTAGACAGGGGACCTTGTCTTGTTTTTGCATCCCTAAATCTTGATTTAGGATCTTTCACATATAGAAGTTAAATGTTGGAAGAAAAGGAAATAAAGGAGGTAATTGCTCAACTCCAAAGATAAGCAGCCTGTGTGCTACCATAGGGTACTTGATAATTTCAGTGATTTTTCTCCACATTCCCATTCTTTATTGTTGCCTTTCAAGGGTGCTCAAACTTGTCCATTTTTCATTTGTTTATTCAGCAGCTGATTTATTTTTAAAATATTCTATTGATTTTTTGTTTATTTAGCATCACTTGGCTCTCTTCTGTCTATGTTTCTTGGCCACTTATGAAGGGGTAAAACAAAAATTAGCTTTCAGAAAAATAAACTAAATAGGCTTGTTCTTATTAGAGGTTGGTTGTTCAAAACTCTGCAGGCCGTAATGACTTCAGCAAATAAAGCTGTTGAATTACAAGTGAAACAATGCAGAAGAATTACAAGACTATGAGGGATTTGGAAAACTGGGAAAAAGACATTAAACGAAAGGATATGGAACTAAGAGGACATAATGGTGTTCCTGAAGAGGTAAATTAAGAATTCCTAATTAACCATCCACCAAAATGAGTTTTTTAAAAATAAGGCATAACTTCTTAAAATGTTTTGTGAAAATGCTGAAATTGAAGTGGTTTGCTTCACTCTCAGTGTTTTTAGAAATTCTGCTTTTCAAAAAGTCTTTGTAATAATTAAATATATTACCATACTTTAAGGCTTAGTGAATAGTTACCAAAAGGATGATCATGTGATAATACTTAGAGGTAAATGACTAGCATCATAAAATATGTAGAGGGGTGTGTGTGTATAAAAATAATATGTGTAGTTATATATTTAGTGATATGTTAACATACCATATTGGCATAAAAATGCAGTTAGTACCTAGGTTGAACCAAAAGTTTTTCTTAAGACAGTGCATTTAAGTATGGCCGGATTTTCATACTGTACATAATATGCAGGCAGTTCAGTTTGCCTTTGCATTACTGCTGGTTCATCGTACTGAGGCTGAAGATAGGTCGTTTTTGAAGTTTGAATTTATGATTGCAAAAGGTATAATTAGAATTTCTAGGTAACACTTTTTTCTTGTGATTGAACAGTGTTCAACATTCGTCAAAGTATGAATTAAACTTTTCAAGCATAATTATTATGAGCGAAGATAGTAAAACACTTTAAAATTAAATTGAAAAATTCTTACAAGAAAATATAGTGAGAATTTTAAACATATCTAGTTATACAAAGAGTAATAGAGCAGAATACTCACAATTTTGTGTTTTTTTTTTCCCGCCTTAGAATTTACCTCCTATTCGAAATGGCAATTTTAGGAAAAAGAAGAAAGCCAAAGCTAAAGAGTCTTCCAAAAAAAACCAAAGAGGAAAACACAAAAAATAGAATAAAATCTTGTGAATTATGAGGCATGGGCAAAACTTGATGTGGTAAGTTAATCTAGTCATCTGCTTCTTAATCTTTGAGTAGAATTTTCTGGGAGCTAGCTGATAGTCATGGGCTAATTGAAAAATAATGTAGAATTATGGCCTGTGTCTTTCTCTTAGACACTATTTTGTGTGGAATAAACATTGAATTACATAGCTCTTTAGGTAATGAGATAATTTTTTTTTCTGCAATCTTCTCTCAGGGAATGGTAGCTAAAACAGCCAGAATTTTGTTCTTTTTCCTTTCTTTCTTTTTGCAAACATTATTATTTATTTACTTATTATTATTTGTTTATCCAGTGTACTCTTCATCCAGTTTCCTCTGGTGATTACATCTTTCTTAGCTGTAGTATATGGTATCAAAACTAGGAAATTGACATTAGTACAGTATGTGTATGGTTCTACATTATTTTATCCCATGTGTAGGTTTGGATAACCCAACTATAATTAAGGTACAGAGATATGGCACCACCACAAAGATTCCCTTTGTGCCATTCCTTTGTAGTCATACGGCTCCCCTCTTCCCCATCTTCTCTAATCCCTAAGCAGCCATAATCCTAAGATACTCCCAGAAAAGAATGTACAGAGCAGAAGCCTTTGTTGCAGACTCTAGGACCTGTAGAATTCTGCTAAAAGAGAATGCCTTTGTTTCTAGTCTTGGGACTGGGGCTGTGTGACAATAAACGTAGGCCTATCTTGATCCCAGGGAGTCGGGCTTCTTCACCCTTGTAGACTGGGATTGCAGATGTGTGTCCTCCCATCTCCCACATGTAATACACAACATACTTGGAGAATCACCACCAGTGCTCTGCCTTACAACCCTCTACCAATGTTTTAAGCAGCCACTGTCATGTCAGCCTGTGAAAGAGAACCTGTTGGCTCTTTCTGTGCTCTGATCTACTTTGAGGATTGATTTGGTTAGGGGTATATGTGTTGGGAGATGTGATAACCAAATTTGGAATATATATTCTTTTTTAATTTTTAAAAAATGCTTATTATGTAATATTTGATTCATACCAAAGAATAGGGGAGATATATGTTCCAAAGCATAGTAATACAATGAATACTTGAGCTGGCCATCTAACTTAAAAAGAATGTTTCCAATACCATTGAAACTTACTGGTATGTTCCTTTCTGATCCTATGTTCTTTTCTCCCCTCTACTCCAGAAGTAACCACTGTCTAATTTCTCTGTTTATTATGTTCTTTGTATTTTTCTGTTTAACATTTTTACTGAGCTATAATGTGCAAAACATACACAGATCTTAAGTGTGCATCTTCCTGAATTTTTACTCAAGTGTACACCTGTGAAGCCACTGTTTGGATCAAGATATAGAACATTCTGGGAGGCTGAGGTGCGAGAATGGCTTGCACCTGGATGGCGGAGGTTGCAGTGAGTGGAGATCACACCATTGCACTCCAGCCTGGGAGACAGAGGGAGACTCTTAAAAAAAAAAAAAAAATTTTTCAGCCTCACAGAGGCCTTCCTTTCAGTAGATAACTTCTCAAAAGTCGCCACTGTTCTGACATCTCATAATGTAGGTCAGTTTGGAATTTCACATAAATGTATTATGCAGTATGCATTTTTTAAGTCTGGCTTCTTTTGCTATCATTATCTGAGATCCATATTGTGAGTAGCAGCGGTTCTTTTTCATTGCTGACCAGAATTCCATTGTGTGGATATCTCAATTTGTGTGTCCATTCTCTTATTGATACACCTTTGTGGTGTTGGCGGTTTGGGGCTATGAATAAACCTGCTGTGGACATTCTTGTACTTGTCTTTTGATGGACATGAGCACCCTAGAGGGGATTTGCTCGGTCATAGTTTATAAATACATTTAGCTTTAGAAAATACTGCCAAACGTTTTTCCAAATTATTTGTGTGGCATTTTTCTTTTCTTTCTTTCATTTTTTTTTTTTTGAGACGGAGTTTCACTCTTGTTACCCAGGCTGGAGTGCAATGGTGCGATTTCGACTCACCGCAACCTCCACCTCCTGGATTCAAGCCATTCTCCTACCTGAGCCTTCTGAGTAGCTGGGGCTACAGGCGTGTGCCACCATGCCCAGCTAATTTTTGTATTTTTAGTAGAGGTGGGGTTTCACCATGTTGACCAGGATGGTCTCGATCTCTTGACCTCGTGATTACAGGAGTGAGCCACCACGCCCGGCCTGTGCGGTATTTTTCTTAATAAAACTAAGGGTAATTAGGAGAGAACTGGGACTTTTATTTAGTTTGCCATCTGCTTCAGGATTGTACCAGTATAAAAGAAGTAAAATTTTGGGTCTTGAATTTCTCACTGTTGGAAATGATACTTTCTGAAAATAGAATTTATTCCCAAGTGTCATATAGCCTGTCTTCATTTTTTTGTGTGACTTCTTGTTACACAGCCTGTTCCTTTTCATCAGTTGATGTCTTCTTATAATGCCCTTTCCTGAAAGGCATCATCTCAGATGATTTCTTACAGAGATGTTTTCTACACAGATATTAATTGAGATCCTGCTGTGTGTAAACAATGCCATCATGATTGTACTGCATAGCTTGCAATTGTCATTTTAGTGTCTCTATACAAGATATAGTTGTTTAGTTTCCATTTCATTCTAGTTCAGATCTGAGCAGCTGCTTTAGTGCCCTGCTGCTGTTAGTTTTCTATACATGTCAGCATAGCAGGGTTGGGTAATCCTGACTACCATGTTGGCAGGCTGGCGGTATTTCTAGAATCTTCATGCTAAAACACATAGCTAAATTTCAGTCCATGTTTCAGTGTTCATTTAATGAAACTATGAATAATTTTTTTGTTTTTATAAGCAATGTTTTATACGTAAATAACTTTAAAATAGTGTTGAATGAAAAAAGGATTTTGTTTATACAATGATTAAAGTTTGTGTTTAAATGTGCTTTAATGAACTCTAATGCTGGTTGCGGTGGCTCATGCCTGTAATTCCAGCACTTTGGGAGACTCAGGTGGGCAGATTGTTTGGGCTCAGGATCCAGACTAGGCTGGGCAACACGGCAAAAGCCCTTCTCTTCAAAAAATAAAAAAAATACTCGGGAGGCTGAGGCAGGAGAATTGCTTGAACTTGGGAGGCAGTGAGCCAAGATCGTGACACTGCACTCCAGTCTGGCATCTGGTGATGAAGCGAGATCCTGCCTCACAATAAATAAATAAATAGCTGGGCATGGTGGTGTGTGCCTATAGTCCCAGCTACTTGGGAGACTGAGCTGGGAGGATGGCTTGAGCCTGAGAGATCGAGGTTGCAGTGAGCTGAGATCACACTACTGCACTCCAGCCTAGGCAGCAGAGCCAGATGCTGTCTCAAAAATAAAATTAAATAAAAATAAAATCTTACTAAAAATCATTGTTTTATCACATGAAAAATGAGAGAAAAATTCTGGTGGGGGTCTATGAAATTATTTATTACCACGGAAAGTAGTGGGAGTCAAAAGAGATTGAGAATTGTGGGACTAGCATATTATATTTTTCCTTTGGTATAGGCAGCTATATTTTGGAATATACTGAGAGATGGTCTAACATAATAATTGAGAACTCTTGGAGGAAGTAGACTTGGCCACTTACTAGTTGAGTGACCTTGAATGAGTTAACCAACTTCTGCATTTCAGTTTCCTCAAGTGAAAAATTGAAGAAAAATCAAGTGAAGGTAATTATACCTTCCTCATAAATTATTATGAAGTTTAGGAGCTAATGTGCTCTATCTTTTTTTTGGTTTTAAAATAGCAGTTTTAAAGCAGCAGGTTTTTTTTTTGTTTGTTTGTTTTAAAATAAGGAAGAATGATGTTTTTTAAAGAAAACTTCCTCTGCTACTGGGGTGCTAATTATATTAGTTTAGGGCTATTTGCAAACTTCCTGTAAGCCATAATACCTAACTGCTATAGTTTGTGATTTGGGGGTGATTGGTATAGTCTATTGACTTAACTTTATGAGTTCAAAGTCAGATTCTTGGTTTGGATCTTGGTTTTCTAAACAAAGGCATCTTTTTCTCTGGATATAATCTTAACAAGAGATTTGGGTTGCTTTGTAAGCCTGTAGGTCCTTAGATTGTAACAATTTATGTTCTTTTGAGTGTATTCTTTTTAGTATGTCTTTTTTTCCCCCTAATGATCATATAATTATGAGCACTCTTTTTCTTCTTTTGAATTTTAGGACTGTATCCTTGATGAGCTTGACAAAGATGATAGTACCCATGATTCTCTGTCTCAAGAATCAGAGTTGGAAGAAGATGGGATTCATGTAGATTCTCAAAAGGCTCTTGTTTTAAAAGAAAAGGTATTACTTACTTAGGTTTTGTTTTTTTCAGGTAAGCAGGAGCTGTAGAAAATCATTTGGATCCTAAAGTTTCTTGAACATAGTTTAGTAGGTATTTAAACTCTATGTTGTTGTTGGCTACATCCCTCTCTGGAGGCAGTGGAACATAGTGGTTAGGAGTACATACTTTCGAGGCCTTACCTGGGTTCAAATCTCTTTTTAAACTCTGAACTTCAGTTTTCTCATCTGTAAAATGATATTAATATTACTATCTTCAAGGGGTTCTTGTGAGTAGTAAATGAACTATTTTATGTAAATACTTGGACTGTACTTGGAGTTGTCCAGTGTTTTTAGTAGTAGATTGAAGTAACTTTAAATTAGTGTGTGATTCTGGGCATAAGTATTATATTCCACTCCTGCATATCAAAGACTATCTTTGGCTACTTTTTGGAATGTTCATTATCTCCCTGAGGGATGGTTCGTTATTATAAAACCAGCTGTATTACTTTCACAAAGATGGAACTCTTTTCAGATTAAAATCTTGATGCTTTTTTTTGGTTACATTTCTTAGGTTGGTATTGTCAATAAGGAGTATAACGCTAGGTATTTTACTCATTTTCTGCCTGGGCTCTTGGATTGTGCCCATACAATGATCATATACAGTTAACCCTTGAACAGTGTGGGGTCAATGCCTCATGCAGTAAAAAAAATCTGCATATAATTCTTGACTCCCCCAAAACTTAACTACTAATAGCTTACTGTTGACTGGAAGCAGTATGGATAACACAAATAGTTGATTAGCACAAATTTTATGTGTTATATGTATTATTTACTGTATTCTTACAAAAAAGTAAGCTAGAGAAAAGAAAATGTTATTAAGAACATTTTAAGGAAGAGCATGTGTATTTATATAAACATATTTTGCTAAGTAGAAGGGTATCATAAAAGTCTTCATCCTTGTCATCTTCACATTGAGTAGGCTGAGGAGGAGGAAGGGGAAGAATTGGTCTTCCTCTCTCAGGGGTAACAGAGACAGAAAAGGTGGAGAAGGTGGAAAGGGAGGCAGGCACACTTGGTGTAGACTTATTGAAAAAAATCTACATTTAGTGGCACATATACACCATTCAATATTATGCAGCAATGAAAAACGATGAGTTCGTGTCCTTTGTAGGGACATGGATGAATCTGGAGAACATCATTCTCAGCAAACTGACACAAGAACAGAAAATGAAATACCGCATATTCTCACTCATAGGCGGGTGATGAACAATGGGAACACATGGACACAGGGCGGGGAGCACTACACATTGGGGTCTATTGGGGGGGAATAGGGGAGGGCCAGCGGGGTGGGGGAGCTGGGGAGGGATAGCCTTGGGAGAAATGCCAGATGCGGGTGAAGGGGAGGAAGGCAACAAATCACACTGCCACATGTGTGCCCCAAAACCTAAAATGTAATAAAAAATAAAAAAACAACAAATCCACATTTAAGTGGACCTGTGCTCTTCAAACCTGGGTTGTTCAAGGGTCAACTATAGTGACTTTAACATCTGTAAAAAAGATCATCTTATTTGATTTCTTTTCTTCAGGGCAATAAATACTTCAAACAAGGAAAATATGATGAAGCAATTGACTGCTACACAAAAAGCATGGATGCCAATCCGTATAATCCCATGTTGCCAACAAATAGAGTGTCAGCATATTTTAGATTGAAAAAGTAAGGACTTTCTGTAATGTGCGTGAATGTGAATGTCTTATATATATATTGAGACTAATTTTAAAAAACGTTTGTAATGAAGTGTGGAGGACAGATTGAAAATGTATTGCATTTCTTTTCAGCTGTAAATTTTTATAGCTCACTCCTTTTTATTGAGTTATTTTGTTTAAGCCATTTTAAACATCTGGTGCTAAAAACTATGTTTCCATAGCTCACTTTACTGAGATGTTCCTCTAAAAATTCAATAAAAATGTTCTTTTCTAATTCACAAAGCTAAAAAAGTTTGTTGGATGTTTTTAGAAATTAATATCCTTCATTGTTTTGAAAAACCATTTACCCACTTTTTAATCTAGAGAACATTTATGATGGTAAACTTAAAATATGTTTCAACATCTGTCTTTAAGTCATACTGACTTTTAAAATAAATACTTAATGTGGAAGAATATAAAAGGTATTGTCTTATCATATGCAGGTAACCAGCCTATCATAGGGGTTTTTTGAAAAGGTAAATAACATCAAGGAAGACATTCTTACTGTTTTAATTATTTGGAAATACAAATTTTATTGTTATCTGAGTTTTTACTATTTAAATAGCATATTTTTATGTCTTTGAAACTCATATTAATATTCTAAAAAATTAGGGGATCTTTACATTTTATAATATTTGATAATCTGCAGTATTTGTATCTCATGTATAAGTTATAGAGAATAATTAAAAAGCCTATATAAGGGCCCCTCTCAATTTAAAAACCAGAAGATTACCATTATTTTTGAAATTACCTTGATGCTTTTTTCTGTATTCTGTTCCTTGCCTCCCTCTCAGTTAACCACTACCATGAATTACATATTTATCGTTCTTTTGGTTTTTAAAAAGGTTTATTATATATGTATATGTCTCTAAATAATATATTGTATAACCTTGCTTATTTTTGAGCTTTAAACATATGTAGTTGTCTGTGGCTCACCTATTTCTCTGAATATTACATTTTTATGATTCATTCTAGTTTTGATGCGTATAGCTCTAGAGCTCTCATTGTAACAGTTATATAAGATAATTTCTTTTTAAAAATATACCATTTATTTTTTATTTTTCTGAACGCAGTCTCACTGTCTCACCAGGCTAGAGTGCAGTGGCGCAGTCTTGGCTCACTGCAGCCTCTGCCTCCCAGGTTCAAGTGATTCTCCTGCTTCAGCCTCCCAAGTAGCTGGGTCTATAGGCACTCACCACCACACCCAGCTAATTTTTGTATTTTTAGTAGAGACGAGGTTTCACTGTGTTGGCCAGGATGGTCTCCATTTCTTGACCTTGTGATCCGCCCACCTCAACCTCCCAAAGTGCTGGGATTACAGATGTGAACCACTGAGCCCGGCCATTATCTGTCTATTCTTGTGTTGCTAGATTGTTGGTTGGTTCCTGTCTTCCTTTCTTTTTCTTCTCTCTCTCCCTCCCACTCTTTCTTCCCTCCTTCTGTCCCTCTTTCTACTGCCCACTTTCTGTCATTTCCTTCCTTATTTCAGTGATGCTAAGAACATTTTTGTTCATATTTTTTGGTGTTGAGTCATAAAATGTATATATGTTCAGCTTCACAGGATGATGATAAAGGTGGTTTGTTGTTACACAGTTGTTCCAAAGGTAGATGGATGAATTACATTCACATTAGACGTGTATAATAATGCTTATTTCCTACCCTTACCAACACTGATATAATTGGGCTTCTTAATTGTTTTCAATCTAGTAGGTATAAAATGGCATTTCATTGTACCTACGAAGAGTTCTTTATTCTGGATACTAATTCTTTGATCTTTTTCATGATAACTATCTTCTTTCAATTTGTAGCTTATCATTTTTTTTCTTTATGAAATTTTAATTAAACATTTACTTTTAATATATTTCAGTTTATTAATTTTTAAAAAAGATTAGGACTTTATAAAGTGGTTTGTTAAAAAAATAGTTTGCTGCTTGGATTCATAATAGTCTCCTCTGATTTCTTCTAAACATTTTTAAAATTTAATTTTCACATTTAGGCCTTTTCACATATGCCAAAGGTTTTTCCAGCTCTTATTTTTGGAATAGCACTACTTTCCCCCATGGATCTGCCATGCTACTGTTGTCATATGTCATGTTTGCCTAGATCACTTTCTCATCTTTTGTTCTTTACACTGGTCTCTTGCCTGTCCTTACATCCATTCCACAATCCATCCAAGCATTGTAACTGTAAGTCTTGATATTTGGTGTAGGGCATATTCTCCTGTTATTTATTATTCAGCAATGTCTTGGGTATTCTTGGACTTACTCATCAATATAAATTTTAGAATCATCTTCCCAAATTCCTTAACACATCCTGTTGAGATTTTGATTAGAATTGCATTAGATTTATAAATCAGTCTGGAGAGAGTAATATTATTACATTTTTGTGCTTTGTTATAGATGAATGTGAAATATTTCCACTTACATTGTCAATGTCTTTGAAAATAGTCTTACAATTTTTTTTGCATCTGTGTCTCGTACATCTTTGTTAGATGTTTTGTTTGTTTCTTGTTGATCTGTCATAGTCACCTTACTAAACTTTTATATTTTAATATTTCTAGCAGTGTCTTTAGATTATTTTTGAGTTTTCTTTTTAGACCATCATATCATCTGAGAATAATGTCAGGTTTTTTTCTTTGTTTCTAGTCCTTGTATTTCTTTCTTACAGAACTACATTGGTGGAGACCTCTATGTAATACCAAGAAAAAGCAGTGATAATGGGCATTCTTGTTTCTTGCATTAAAGGGAATGCTACTAATGTTCCACCATTAGGAATTATAGGCATACCTTGTGTTATTGTGTGTCGCTTTATTGCATCCACAGATACTGTTTTTACAAAATGAAGGTTTGTGGCAACCCTGTATCAGGCAAGTCAGGCAACTCTGTGGGTGCCATTTTTCCAACAGCATGTGTTTACTTTGTATCTCTGTGTCACATTTTAGTAATTGTTGCAGTATTTCAGACTTTTTTTGTTGTTATTATATCTGTTATGGTGATCTCTGATCAGGGATCTTTGATATTTCTATTGTAATTGTTTTGGGGAGCCATCAAGCATGCCCATATATTACGGCAAGCTAAATGAATAGATGTGCATTCTGTCTGCTTCACTGACCAACTGCCCCCCCATCTCTGTCCCTCTCCTTGGGCCTCCCTATTCCCTGAGATACAACAGTATTGAAATTAGGCCAGTTAATAACCTACAGTGAGGCCGGTCATGGTGGCTCATATCTGTAATCCCAGCACTTTGGGATGTCGAGATGGGTGGCTCACTTGGGGCCAGGAGTTTGAGACCAGCCTGGCCCAACATGGTGAAATCCTGTCTCTACTAAAACAGAATTAGCCGAGCATGGTGGTGCATGCCTATAATCTCAGATACTTTGGAGGCTGAGGCATGAGAATGCTTGAGCCCAGGAGGCAGAGATTGCAGTGAGCCAAGATCATGCCACTGCACTCCAGCCTTGTGACAGAGTGAAACTCCGTCTCAAAACAAACAAACAAACAAACAAAAAATGCCTACAGTGGCATTTAAGTGTTCAAGTGAAAGAAAGGAAGACTCGCACATCTCTCACTTTAAATTGGAGGCTAGAAATGATTAAACTTGGTGAGGAAGGCATGTTGAAAGCCAAGACTGACTGAAAGTTAAGCTTCTTGTGCCAGTTAGCCAAGTTGTGAATACAAAGGAAAAGTTCCTGAAGGAAATTAAAAGGGCTACTCCATTGAACACAAGTAATTAAAAAGTGAAAGAAGCCTAATGTTGATAGGGAGAAAGTTTTATTGGTCTGTATAAATTAAACCAGCCACAACAGGTGAAGCAGCAAGTGCTGATGGAGAATCTGTAGAAAGTTATCCAGACGATCTAGCTAAGGTAATTGATGAAGTTGACTATATTAAACAACACATTTTCAGTGTTGACTAAACAGCTTTCTGTTAGAAGATAGTGCCATCTAGGACTTTCACAGCTAGAGAGAAATCAATGCCTGGCTTCAAAGGACAGTCTGATTCTCTTGTTAGGGGCTAATGTAGCTGGTGGCTTTAAGTTGAAGACTGTGCTCATTTACCATTGCAAAAGTCCTAGGACCCTTAGGAATTATGCTAAATCTACTCTGCCTGTGCTCTATAAATAAAACAAAGTCTGGATGACAGTACATCTATTATAATCTGGTTTACTGAATATTTTAGGCCTAATGTTGAGACCTACAGCTTGGAAAAAAGATTTATTTCAAAATAATACTGTTTATTGACAATGTACCTACTCACCCAAGATCTCTGCTGAAGATGTACAAGGAAATGAATGTTGTTTTCATGCTTCCTAACACAACATCCATCTGCAGCCCATGATCAAAGAGTCATTTCAACTTTGAAGTCTCATTATTTAAGAAATATGTTTCAGCAGTTCAGTGGTCCCTCTGATCTATCTCTTGCTTCAACAGTGTTTGGATGGAACAGATCCCCCCCGCCCCAAAAAAAAATTAAAAAGAAAGAAATACGTTTCATAGGCTATAGCTGTCATAGATTGTGATTCCTCTAGTGGATCTGGACAAAGTAGATTGAAACCTGGAAAGGGTTAACTAATTTTAGATGCCATTAAGAACATCTGTAATTCACGGAGGAGGTCAAAATATCAGTGTTAATGGGAGTTTGGAAGAAGTTGATTTCTACTCTTACGGATTACTTTGAGGTGTTCAAGATTTTAGTGGAGGAAGATATGACTGAATTGCTGCAATCTTGTGTTCAAACTTGAATGGATGATCAGTTGCTTCCTATGCATGAGCAAGGAAAGTGGTTTCTTGAGATAGAATCTACTGGTGAAGGTGCTGTGAACATTTTTGAAATGACAACAGAAGATTTAGAACATTATACAAACTTACTTGAAAAAGCAGTGGCAGAGTTTGAGAGGATTGACTCCAATATTGAAAGAAGTTCTATTATGAGTAAAATGCTATCAAACAGCATCACATGCTACCACTACCACCCTGATCAATCAGCAGCCATCAACATCAAGGCAAGATACTTCACCACCAAAACATATATATTCACTGAAGGCTCAGATAATCATTAACATTTTTTAACAAAGTATTTTTAAATTAAGGTATATACATTGTTACTTATCCATAAGGCTTTTGCACACTTACTAGATTACAGTATAATATAAATATAACTTTTGTATGCACTGGAAAAACAGAAAATTTGTATGACTAGCTTTATTGTGACATTTACTTTGTTGTGGTGGTCTAAAATCAAATCCACAATATTGTTGAGAAATGCCAGTATTGCTTTTATTATGCTTAATTAAAAGGAAGTGGGAAACATGCCTTCAGTGGGTAAGTAAATTCCCTTTGCAAGGATTTCAGAAACAAAACTTTGAAGTTTTGGTTTAGTAAATGAGTTTTATTCACTTCATTTATTTTGATGTTTTAAAATTGCAGATTTGCTGTTGCTGAGTCTGATTGTAATTTAGCAATTGCCATGAATAAAAGTTATACAAAAGCTTATTCCAGATGAGGTGCTGCTTGATTTGCTTTGCAAAAATTAGAAGAGGCCAAAAAAGGTATTTTTCTAGTCATTATCTAAAAAATTCTTTGACAGTGTAATCTAACAGATGCTATATAGAAATTACTAAGTAATCACAGTTACTACCTTCAAAATGCTTTCTATATTTAAACAAAGCTCATTTTTGCAACTGAAATGATATCTTGATGTTTTGAGAAAGAATGCATTATTTGCTACCAATCAGAATTTGGTTCAAATTTTCATGTTACCAAGTACTAGCAATGTGACCAGTATCTTCTCTGATTTTCGGTTTCTCATCTGTAAAATAGGCATTAAAATGTCTTGTTGGCTTTAGTGAGGCAAGAGGTAGTGTGTTTAAAGCTCCTAACACATTTTTTGTTTATTTATAAATTCTAGGCCTTCTGTTTATTCCACAAAATAAGTTTTTATATTATAAATCAAAATCTGAATAAAGCTGATATTTAATTGGATTTTGCTGCCTCTTAGGTGTTTTTTTTTTTTTTTCCTCCACTGTCACCCAGGTTGGAGTGTGATGGCATGCTCTCAGCTCACTGCAACCTCTGCCTCCAGGGTTTAAGCAATTCTCCCTGCCTCAGCCTTCTGAAATGTGCCTGCCACCATGCCCAGCTAATTTTTATATTTTTAGTAGACACAGGGTTTCACCATGTTGGCCAGGCTGGTCTTGAACTACTGACCTCAGATAATCTGCCTGCCTCGGCCTCCTCACTCCTTTGGGGTGCACTTCATCCCCAAGGCCCAATTTTACACTTCAATGGCTTAACAAGGGCTTTACTGGATTGAAGTCAACATTAAAAGACTTTAGATTCCATCAGCACAGTCTTCGGCCCCTTGTGTCTAATGAGAATTTGCCCAGTTAAAATTTTAACATTGGGTCTAAGCTGAGAGATCTTGATTTTCAGCCTGAAACTCTTCAAAAGGCTTGATTAACTAAGGAGTTCCTGCTACAAAGTAAAAGTCAAGAACCCTCTTCAGCAAAGGTGAGCTGGCCTCAGTGGTAAATGGGAAATGAGCTGGTTTTGATAAATTTTTTATAACATACATGTATTGTGTTTTTAGGAGGGCAGGGGGTTATTCAAGGTTCTGAGTAACATGTTACCACAGGTAGAAGGAGGTGCTGCTCAGCCCTGGAGACAGACACACACACACACAGTCTAGATACAACTGGTAGTGTCCAGCCAAATACTTGGTGGTATGAGGAGGGCTGTGAACACATCCATGCTCCAAAGGAAGAGACACCTTTCCCTAATTCACATGTCCATTCTTCCTTCTCCCCCAACCTTGCCTCCTCCTCAAGCCCATGCATTATTACATAGAACACAATTAGGCAGGGATATCAGGTTAAAGCATTGTCAATGATGCTTTCATTAAAAACAGCACAGTCAAACAGAGCATTCTTGCATATGAAATGAGATTTTTTTTTTTTGGAAGGGAGGAAGGGAGGAAAGGAGAAAGGGAGGGAGGGAGGAAGGGGGGAGGGAGGGAAAGAAGGGAAGGAAGGAAATCAGGCAATGAGAGAGACATTGCTGACCTGGATCTAGAGGTCTACAAGTTGATTTTTTCTTTTTTTGAGAGAAGGAAAGAAAAAAAGAAGGAGAGTAAGAAAGAGGAAGCAAAAGTGGGAGAGAGAATGGAAATGTTGCTTTATTCTAAAAAAAATGGGTATTAATGACCAATCAATATTTCATTTAAACCTATGAGTAGGTGTGATGTGGTATTGACAAGAATGTATATTTTGTGTATTTAAAGTGGAGAGCTCTATAAATATGTATTAAGTTTACTTCTTCTGGATCTGAGTTTGAGTCCTTGATATCCTTATTAATTTTCTGTCTCATTGAGTCTAAGTCTCTATGTATCTGGGTGTTAGAATCATTAGCTCTTGTTGTTGCATTGATCCTTTTACCACTATATCTTTGTTGCTTTAAAATCTATTTTATCAGATATGAGAATTGCAATTCCTGCTATTTATTTATTTATTTATTTATTTATTTATTTTTGCTCTCCATTTGATTGGTAAATCTTTCTCCATCCCTTTGTTTTGAGTCTTTGTGTATCCTTGCATGTGAAATGGGTCTGGATGTTGCATACAGTTGGGTTTTGGCTGTATCTTTTGATTGGGGGATTTAGTCAATTGAAATTTAGGTTTACTACCATTTGATGTTAACTGGCTGTTTTATCCATTTGTTGATGTAAATTCTTCTTTATGTTGATGCTCTTTACTTTTTGGTATATTTTTAGAAAGGCTAATACTGGTTGTTTCTTTCTATGTGTAATGCTTCTTTCAGAAGCTCTTGTAAAGCAGGCCTGGTGGTAATAAAATTACTGAGTACTTGCTTATTTATAAAAGATTTTATTTTTCCTTCAGTTGTGAAGCTTAGTTTGGCTGGATATGAAATTCTGGACTGAAAGTTCTGTTCTTTGAGGATGTTGAATATTGGCCCCCACTCTCTTCTGGCTTGTAGAGTTTCTGCTGAGAGATCTGCTGTAAGTCTGATAGGTTTACCTTTGTGGGTAACCTGACCTTTCTCTCTGGCTGCCCTTAGTATTTTCTCCTTTGTTTCAACCCTGGCGAATCTAATGATTATGTGCCTTGGGGTTGCTCTTCTTGAGGAATATCTTTGTGGTGTTCTCTGTATTACCTGGGGTTGAATATTATCCTGCTTTGCTAGTTTAGGAAAATTTTCCTGAATAATATCCTGAAGAATATTTTCCAGCTTGGATTCATTCTCTTCGTCACATTCAGGTACACCTATCAAACTTAAATTTGGTCTTTTCACATAGTCCCACGTTTCTTGGAGACTTTGCTCATTCCTTTTTATCCTTTTTTCTCTAATCTTGTCTTCTCGTTTTATTTCATTAAGTTGGACTTCGACCTCTGATAACCTTTCTTCTGCTTGAAGAATTCGATGGCACGATAAAAACCCTAGAAGGAAATCTAGGCAAAACTATCCAGGACATAGGAGTAGGCAAGGACTTCATGAACAAAACACCAAAAGCATTGGCAATAAAAGCCAAAATAGACAAATGGGACCTAATGAAACTCCACAGCTTCTGCACAGCAAAAGAAACAGTCACTAGAGTGAATTGGCAACCAACAGAATGGGAAAAAAATTTTGCAGTTTACCCATCTGACAAAGGGCTGATATCCAGAATTTACAAAGAACTCAAACAGATTTACAGGAAAAAACAAGGCCATTCAAAAGTGGGCAAAGGATATGAACAGACACTTTACAAAAGAAGACATATATGAGGCCAACAATCATATGAAAAAATGCTCATCGTCACTGGTCATCAGAGAGATGCAAATCAAAACCACACTGAGATACCATCTCATGCCAGTTAGAATGGCGATCATTAAAAAATCTGGAGACAACAGATGCTGGAGAGGATGTGGAGAAAAAGGAACATTTTTACACTGTTGGTGGGAGTGTAAATTAGTTCAACCATTGTGGAAGACGGTGTGGCGATTCCTCAAGGCCTTAGAAATAGAAATTCCATTTGACCCAGCAATCCCATTACTGGGTATATATCCAAAAGACTATAAATCGTTCTACTATAAGGACACATGTACACGAATGTTCATTGCAGCACTGTTTACAATAGCAAAGACCTGGAATCAACCCAAATGCCCATTGATAATAGACTGGATTGGAAAAATGTGGCACATATACACCATGGAATATTATGCAGCAATTAGAAATGATGAGTTTGTGTCATTTGTAGCGACATGGATGAATCTGGAGAACATCATCCTCAACAAACTGACACAAGAACAGAAAATGAAACACCGCATATTCTCACTCATAGGTGGGTGATGAAAAATGAGAACACATGGACACAGAAAGGGGAGTACTAAACACTGGGGTCTATTGGGGGGAAAAGGGGAGGGCCAGTGGGAGGGGGAGGTGGGAAGGGATAGCCTGGGGAGAAATGCCAAATGTGGGTGAAGGGGAGAAGCAAAGCAAAGCACACTGCCATGTGTGTACCTACGCAACTGTCTTGCATGCTCTGCTCATGTACCCCAAAACCTAAAATCCAATAAAAAATAAAAAAAAAAAAAAGAATTCGAACAATTTTTAAACCTGTGCATACTTCTCAGAGTTCCCCTATTGTATTCTTCAGTTCCATTAATTCACTTATATTCCTCTCTAAGTTGTCTATTCTCATTAGGATTTTGTCAAACCTTTTTTCAGAGTTCTTAGTTTCTTTACATTAGGCTACGACATGTTCTTTTAACTCACAGAAGTTTCTTATCCATCTTCTGAAGCCTGATTCTGTTAATGGGATGCGCTCGTTCTCCATCAAGCCTTGTCCCCTTGTTGGTGAGGAACTGTGATCCTCTTTAGAGGGAGAGGCATTCTGATTTTGAGTATTCTCAGCCTTTTTATGCTGGTTTCTTTCCATCATTGTAAATTTATCCACCTGTCATTTTTGTAATTACCAACTTTCAAATTAGGTCTCTGAGTGAACGTCCAAGTTGTTAATTCTCAGGGCCAAAATATGAGCAACCCACTGCGCCGGCCAAAACAGCGGTGTTAAGACTGATGGTGCTTTTCTGCCTGGGAATCTCCAGTCTGGCTTCCTTCTTGAGTCAGTAATGGGCAACTCTGCCTTCCCGGAGCTCCAAACCTCGGTCAGAAGGGGAACTGTTTACTCTGCACCAAGAGCTGCCACACCGAGGTGCCAGCAAAACCGCTGCGCCGGCCACAAGAGTTGTGCTGGCGACCTGTGCAACTTCTCCACTGGGAATCTTCTGCTTTGTGAGTGACCAAAATTCGTCTGAAAGTGTGGCTCCTCTCTTTCCCTGCGCTTTCACTGGGAGCTGCAATCCCGAGATGTTAGCAATCAGCCATCGTGGATCGTATCCCCAAGATTAATTCTTTCAGACATGGCTCATAATGACTGGGGCCCCACAACCAGGACAGCAGCTCTGTTCTGCATTGAGCCTAGCTGTGTGCCTGGCCACCTCCCAAAGTGCTTTACACACTCTCATTTCACCCTCAGAGGTAGACAAGAGGACTACAAAGGACTTGTGTCTCCCATGCTCTCTGAAAAGGACTTCCATTTCTCCTGGGGACCAAAAGTAACAATAAAAGTTGCTTTTTCTTTGTAGAGAACACAACTTTTTAAAAATACACAGCTAAAACTCTCCCTGCTTTCAATGCTATAGCACTTAAAGCAGGGAGAGTTTTAGCTGTGTATTTTGAAAAAGTTGTCTCTAAGTGCTATAGCTGATGAAGATAGAATGAGTGATCTGTGTCCCCTTGAGTTGACACTGTTCTTTTAGTATTAGTGTTAGTTGACACTAACCGGGAAGGCAGAGTAATATTAGTATTAGTTGACACTATTCTTTTAGTAGTAAAGGATTCGGTAATATTTTCATTCTTTAGAACTGATTCTCATTCTTGTCAATCAACTGTGAATTTTCTGTGTTAATTTCCAGCAGAGGTAATAGAATTAATCCAAAATTATAGGTGTATTAAAGTCCAGATTGACAAGTATACTCAACAAACCAGGCACTGAGCTGAAGAAGGGATCATTTCCCAGTGGGCCTTAAGACCCACATAAATCCCTGTGCAAAAATCGAGAAACAGAGACAGAAGGTGACTCACCTAAGGCTTGTCACTTGAAGGTGAGTGTCTGGCTGACTGGCACAGGGCTGGAAATTAAATCCAAATCTCCTGACCTCTAATTTCAGAGGGCACACTGCATCCCCAAGGCCCAATTTTACAGTTCAATGGCTTAACAAGGGCTTTACTGGATTGAAGTCAACATTAAAAGACTTTAGATTCCATCGGCACAGTCTTTGGCCTTTTGTCTCTAATGAGAATTTGCCCAGTTAAAATTTTGACATTGGGTCTAAGCTGAGAGGTCTTGATTTTCAGCCTGAAACTTTTCGAAAGGCTTGATTAACTTAGGAGTTCTTGCTACAAAGTAAGAGTCAAGATGCTCTTACTTTGTATCCCTGTGTCACATTTTAGTAATTGTTGCAGTATTTCAGACTTTTTTTTGTTATTGAGGCCATCAAAGGTGAGCTGGCCTCAGTGGTAAATGGGAAATGAGCTGGTTTCAATCACCACCCTCTCACCAATCATGTAAGATACATTTTATATAACATACCGGTATTGTGTTTTTAGGAGGGCAGGGGGTTATCCAAGGTTCTGAGTAACATGCTACCACAGGTAGAAGGAGGTGCTGCTCAGCCCTGGAGACAGACAGACACACAAACACACACACACACACACACACACACACACAGAGTCTAGACACACAACTGGTAGTGTCCAGCCAAATATTTAGTAGTATGCGGAGGGCCTTGAATTCATCTATGCTCCAAAGAAAGAGACACCTTTCCTTAATTCACACATCAATTCTCCCTCCTTCTCCCTCAACCCTGCCTCCTCCTCAAGTCCCCGCATTATTACATAGAACACAATTAGGCATGGCTATCAGGTTAAAGCATTGTCAGTGATGCTCATTAAAAACAACAGCACAGTCAGAGAGCATGCTTGCATATGAAATGTGACTGATTCTTTCAGACATGGCTCATGATGACTGGGGCCACACCACCAGAATTCTTGTGTAATTCTATGGAAGAATAGATTTCTGTATAGAGAATCTATATAGAGTGAGGGAGGAACGGAAGAAAAACCAGGAAAAGGTGCATTGTTGAACTGGGTACTTCTGTTGGCAAATGGGAGGTAGAGCACACTTTACATTTTCCCTCTGAAACCCCAGAGATTGGGGCATTTACCTACTGACTGACTCCTCTGCTGGAGGAGAGTCACTTCCAGAGGCATTAACCTTATATTCCTGGCTTCATACAAAGGCTGAGCAGGCTGCCTTGGCTTCAGAAACAGTTCAAGCCAGAAAGTGGGGGAACATATGTGGAAGGAGAGAGGGTGCTGTGGAAACTGTCCAGCAGAGCTTTGGCTGAAATCACTTCAAGCTGACCATGTGCAATGCTGAGGGCCTTGGCCATCTCCCCATTAAGTTAAAAAAATAAACTGCCTTGGGAGGCTGAGTCGGGTGGGTCACGAGGTCAGGAGTTCAAGACCAGCCTGGCCAACATAGTGAAACCCCGTCTGTACTAAACATACAAAAATTAGCAGGGCATGGTAGAGTTTGCCTGGAGTCCCAGCTACTCAGGAGGCTGAGGCAGGAGAATTGCTTGAACCCGGGAGGCGGAGATTGCAGTGAGCCGATATTGCCTCACTGCACTCCAGCCTGGCAACAGTGAGACTCTGTCTCAAAAAAAGTACTTTGCCCCTAAAACTCATGGGAAGACTTTCTGGATTCAAGACATCTTAAGAGCTATGAAAACCGTCTTAGAAATTCCTGCAGGCTTCCACAACTGTGAACTTTCAGGGCTCAGTGTGGGTTCCTTCTGTAATTTCCTGACAATTATAATTGGGAAATAAAGCATTAGTAAAATAAATGTATAATATATTCATGGAATGTTTTTCATTTAAACTTTTCCAGAATAAGCTCTAGGACTTAGAAACTAAAACGTGTTTTATATTCTCTCAAAGCCTGATTTATCTCTGCTTCTTACCATGCCTTATCAAATCATCAGCCCCCTGAGGAAGCAACTGATATTGTTTCCTGAAAAAATAATCACTCTTTACTTAGCAGGAGAACAAGTAGTCTAAGGGGGAAAAAAAGAATAGGATACATTTAAATTATCTGAAGCATGCATAATATTTGGTGGCCACAGCTTCCTCCTTGAGACGTGTAGAGAAGAAAGTGTGCCTCTGAAGATTCCTACTGCTTAGGTTTCAGAAGAGATTGAACAAAACTCTAACCTTTACAAATAATTATTTCCAAAAGAATGGCTAACATTTGTTTTTTTGTTTTTTTGTTTTTTTTGATGGAGTCTCACTCTGTTGCAGGTGCAATGACGTGATCTTGGTTCACTGCAACCTTTGTCTCCCAGATTCAAGCAATTCTCCTGCCTCGGCCTCCTTAATAGCTGCGATTACAGGCATGCGCCACCACAGCCAGCTAATTTTTGTGTTTTTAGGAGAGATGGAGTTTTGCCATCTTGGCCAGTTTGGTCTTGAACTCCTGGCCTCAGGTGATCTGCCTGCTTCGGCCTCCTAAGTGCTGGGATGACAGGCGTGAGTCACCACCCCCGCCCTTTTTCTGTTAAAATTTATAAACTTCCCCCAATAATGAATCTTCTCTTCAAACTACTTTTTTTTTTTTTCCCCTGAGTTGGAGTTTCGCTCTTGTTACCCTGGCTGGAGTGCAATGGCGCAATCTCGGCCCACCGCAACCTCCGCCTCCAGGGTTCAGGCAATTCTATTGCCTCAGCCTCCTGAGTAGCTGGGATTACAGGCACGTGCCACCATGCCCAGGTAATTTTTTGTATTTTTAGTAGAGACGGGGTTTCACCATGTTGACCAGGATGGTCTCAATCTCTTGACCTCGTGATCCACCCGCCTCGGCCTCCCAAAGTTCTGGGATTACAGGCTTAAGCCACCGTGCCCGGCTTCTTCAAACTACTTTATCAGTGAGAACTGTGGTTCTCTTGTGTGGCAGAGAGAGCCTGCGTTTTGGTGACAGACAAACCTCCAAATTCTGTCTCTTTCATTAATTTCAATCTCCTTAACATCAGGCAAGACATTTAATCTCTTTGAGTCTACATTTTCTCATCCTCAAGGAGAGAAAGGGAAATCATACCTATTTTACAGTTTCATTGCAAGGATTAAATGAGGTGATATCTGTTAAACTCCAGTTCAAAGGTCAATATTTGCTAATGTCAGTTCCCTCCTTCCCTTAGCTCAGAGGTCATTAAACAGTCCTGGATTCCCTCTGCAAGCTGAGTCCACATCCCTTGGGGATATCTCTCACCTACAATATAGTT